AGCGTTTTTAGTTTACGTTTTTAGTTTACGTTTGTAGTTTTTAGTTTTTAATACACATTTCTACAACCGATGAGTAAATCTGGTGGATTGATGTAGCTGTATGGGTTGATGTAGCTGTATGGGTTGATGTAGCTGTATGGGTTGATGTAGCTGTATGGGTTGATGTAGCTGTATGGGTTGATGTAGCTCTATCTGGTGGATTGATGTAGCTGTATGGGTTGATGTAGCTCTATCTGGTGGATTGATGTAGCTGTATGGGTTGATGTAGCTCTATCTGGTGGATTGATGTAGCTGTATGGGTTGATGTAGCTGTATGGGTTGATGTAGCTCTATCTGGTGGATTGATGTAGCTGTATGGGTTGATGTAGCTGTATGGGTTGATGTAGCTCTATCTGGTGGATTGATGTAGCTGTATGGGTTGATGTAGCTCTATCTGGTGGATTGATGTAGCTGTATGGGTTGATGTAGCTCTATCTGGTGGATTGATGTAGCTGTATGGGTTGATGTAGCTCTATCTGGTGGATTGATGTAGCTGTATGGGTTGATGTAGCTGTATGGGTTGATGTAGCTCTATCTGGTGGATTGATGTAGCTGTATGGGTTGATGTAGCTGTATGGGTTGATGTAGCTCTATCTGGTGGATTGATGTAGCTGTATGGGTTGATGTAGCTCTATCTGGTGGATTGATGTAGCTGTATGGGTTGATGTAGCTCTATCTGGTGGATTGATGTAGCTGTATGGGTTGATGTAGCTCTATCTGGTGGATTGATGTAGCTGTATGGGTTGATGTAGCTGTATGGGTTGATGTAGCTCTATCTGGTGGATTGATGTAGCTGTATGGGTTGATGTAGCTGTATGGGTTGATGTAGCTCTATCTGGTGGATTGATGTAGCTGTATGGGTTGATGTAGCTCTATCTGGTGGATTGATGTAGCTGTATGGGTTGATGTAGCTCTATCTGGTGGATTGATGTAGCTGTATGGGTTGATGTAGCTCTATCTGGTGGATTGATGTAGCTGTATGGGTTGATGTAGCTCTATCTGGTGGATTGATGTAGCTGTATGGGTTGATGTAGCTCTACGAAAACTACATGGTGTTCAATATTTATCGAAACCAATAGATCACTAAGTTTAAAGCTCGTTTTTTACAAATTTAATGTTAAAAAAGAAAAAAAACATATCAAAGACATAAACAATTTTACTTTAACAGTCACTTTTTTCAAAATTATTGCCTTTCGCGTTGATGCTAGTCTAGAAATTCTCGTGGAAGTGTGACACGGAGGTCGAAGTTTGTGATAAATCGAATTTATCACAAACTCTTGTTAAATTTTCTTGAAAGAATCAAAAATGAAATATGCTTTCATGATTTAATGTTCAATAAATTTGAAAATTGGTAAATAGTGAAGGATTTCACTGAAGTGAAGGAAAGTTTTCAACTAAGGAAGGAACAGTGAAGGAAAGTTTTCAACTAAGGAAGGAACAGTGAAAGAAAGTTTTCAACTAAGGCTCTAGTATCACTCTCCAAGTTCTGCTTTTCAAGAATACCCAAGTGCAAACAATTCTTTTTTCCGGAACTCTTCATTTTTCAGCTCAATTCCCAATCTTTTTTTCCACCTGCAAATAGGAATGATGAGAATTGGTGATATTTTTTCGGTGAAATTACTTTTTTTACTGATTTTCTAATGAGATGTACGCTCAAAAGCAATTAGTTTTCTTTAATTGAAACTTTTTTTTAAATTGAGAATTCGAGACGAAAGACAGAGAATGGTGTACAAAAATTGGGAAAACAGGGGAATGAGTTCGCTTGGAAATGGAAATGGTTATGGTAAGCTCTTGAAAATGGGAAACTTGTGTGCTAGATGGATAAAGTTCGTTTGATAAATGAGCTTTGCACCAAAAAAAATTTCGTTATTTTTCTCTTGCGTTTTCTAAAACGTCGAAAAGCTGCCGTACCGCTATCTCTAGTTTTTATCCAACCTACAGTAGTGGAAAAAAAAGTATTGAGCTCCCCAGACTTTTTTTTACTTTTTACTTCAAAAAGAAAATATCTATCGAAAGCTTTTTGAAACGGTTCTAAATTTCTAGAACTAGAACTAGAAGAAGAGAAGAACTAGAGCTAGAAGAAGAGAAGAACTAGAGCTAGAAGAAGAGAAGGACTAGAGCTAGAAGAAGAGAAGAACTAGAGCTAGAAGAAGAGAAGGACTAGAACTAAAACTAGAAGAAGAGAAGAACTAGAACTAGAAGAAGTGACTCTTTCAACAAGCCCCCAAAACACACAAGTGGTTTTGATGATGGGCCGAATTTAATGATTTGATATCTTTGCCGCACAAGTGTTTAGATCACAGTTTTCTAAAACGTTCTCGGCTACCGTAATCTTGTTTCTAGCTTTTATCTAATCAATCTACGTTTATTTTGATTCTGTGAGGGCTCACAAAAGGATATCGAAAGATATAAAAAATGAATACAATGGTGGAAAAAAAAGTATTGAGCTCCCCCGATTGTTTTTACTTTTTACTTCAAAAAAAATATCTATCGAAAGCTTTTTGAATCGGTTCTAAATTTCTAGTAACTAGAAGAACTAGAACTAGAAGAAGTGACTCTTTCAACAAGACCCCAAAACACAAAAGCCGTTTTGATGATTTGATATCTTTGCCGAAAAGCGAAGATATCAAATCGTCGTTTTGTTCACCATTCGGGCTGGTTTCGCATTCATAACGTTTATCTGCTTAAATCTGCTTAAATCTGCATAAATCTTAAATCTATCTGCTATCTTTTGGCTATAAAAACTTGAAATAATAACAATTAGGAAGAATTTAAAGAGAATTTTTAAAAAAAGAGAAGTTTCAGAATCTGTGGATTTCCAGAGAACCCTAGCTCTTTCGTTTTCGGCTTTCGTTTTTTGGCAATTGCTCTAACTAATGAGCACAGAATTGAATTCTACCTCGTTCTCCACCTCATTCTCCACCTCGTTCTCCACCTCATTCTCCACCTCATTCTCCACCTCATTCTCCACCTCGTTCTCCACCTCATTCTCCACCTCATTCTCTTCTTTGCAACCCTATTGAGCATTTTTGGATCCACGTGAAACGAAATTCAGGAGAAAATCACTTTTTCTCAAAGAAGGATCTTTGGGATAAAGTTCAAGAGATTCGGAATGGAATTCGAATGTCGCCTCTCAACGAATAGATGCAATTATTAAAGCCCGAGATGGCCCAACAAAATATTGCATTTTCGATAGGTTGCTCAATAGTTTTTTTCCGCCGGTTTTTGCAAATATTGTTTACATATGTTTTTTCTCGTTAAATCGACTTTGCAATTCAAAACCTTTTATAACATTAGGCCGCTTAGCTCTTCTAGTTTCTAGAAATTTAGAACCGTTTCAAAAAGCTTTCGATAGATATTTTTTTGAAGTAAAAAGTAAAAACAATCGGGGGAGCTCAATACTTTTTTTCCACCATTGTATTCATTTTTTATATCTTTCGATATCCTTTTGTGAGCCCTCACAGAATCAAAATAAACGTAGATTGATTAGATAAAAACTAGAAACAAGATTACGGTATCCCGAGAACGTTTTAGAAAACTGTGATCTAAACACTTGTGCGGCAAAGATATCCAATCATTAAATTCGACCCATCATCAAAACCACTTGTGTGTTTTGGGGGCTTGTTGAAAGAGTCACTTCTTCTAGTTCTAGTCCTTCTCTTCTTCTAGCTCTAGTCCTTCTCTTCTTCTAGTTCTAGTTCTAGAAATTTAGAACCGATTCAAAAAGCTTTCGATAGATATTTTTTTTGAAGTAAAAAGTAAAAACAATCGGGGGAGCTCAATACTTTTTTTTCCACCATTGTATTCATTTTTTATATCTTTCGATATCCTTTTGTGAGCCCTCACAGAATCAAAATAAACGTAGATTGATTAGATAAAAACTAGAAACAAGATTACGGTAGCCGAGAAAGTTTGACACGTTTTAGAAAACTGTGATCATCAGAAAGAACGCAGGGATTTCAAGAAGCTGAACTAGAAATTACAGAAAAGTCTTTTATGAGCTTTGTGCTCAAAAATAAAAAGCACACTCAACTCAGCACTTCTCTCATCACATAAGGAAGGAAGTGATAGACTTGGGAAGTGATAGACTTGGGAAGTGATAGACTGGCATAAGGAAGTGATAGACTTTGGGTGGATCGAGTGCCCCTCTTCTAGCACACTCAATTCCTCTCATAGTAATGATTTAGTGTCAAGGGTTGGATTCAAGGACTTGTCTTCAATCTTTTCTTCAATTCTTCATTCTTCAATTCTTCATTCTTCAATTCTGGAAGCAATTTCTTCTATTTTTATCCGCAGAAATCAAATCGTATCATTTCAAGCATTTTATTCGAAAATCGGGTTCATTGTTGCAAAATGTTTTTTTTTCTCATCCAAACATTTGACATTGATGAGCTCCCTTGGGGGAATCTTTCAAAAAAAAAGCGCTAAAAGGATTTCGACTAATATTTTTTGTCGTAAATAGTACAAAAATTTTGAATGTTTATTTACACTTTTTGGGGGGAATTGATGAAAACATGTTGTCTGGGGGAATTTGTGTGGAAAAGAAGTGTAGAAAAATTGTGAGATTTGGAAAAACCACGTTAAAAAATGCGATAAATCAAATAAATAATAGATATAAAAGCTATTGATTAAGCAGATTAAGCAATTTTTAAGAATGATGAGCTTTTGGGGAGAGGGGAGAGTTTGAAATATTGATGCCGAAGTGAAGGCTTAGCTGGTGAACTTCTTGTCGCATTGATGTTGAATTGAAAGCATGTTGTCTGGGGGAATTTGTGTGGAAAAGAAGTGTAGAAAAATTGTGAGATTTGGAAAAACCACGTTAAAAAATGCGATATTCAACATGAAATCAAATAAATAATAGATTTTAAAATTATTGATTAAGCAGATTAAGCAATTTTTAAGAATGATCAGATTTTGGGAGAGTTTCACGTTTGAAATATTGATGCCGAAGTGAAGGCTTAGCTGGTGAACTTCTTGTCGCCTTTCTAAAGATAATCGAATCTTAAACCTAAAGTATTTTTTAGGTTCTTATCTTTCTTACAATTAGTCTACCAGGGATTTTCCAATCGTTACCAGGGATTTTCCAACAGTACCAGGTCCAAACTTGGCTTTTGACGGGTCAAACAAGGGAAAGGCAAAAGTAGGATGTGGTCAAATGAGATGAGCCGTAGGAAAAGTATATACGGTAGGAAAAGTTATAAAAGTTGTACGTTTGAAAAAAGTGTACTTTGTGCAAAAAAATTTGGCGGAACCGTAACCACCCCCTTTGGAATACCTATATTTGCTCGTTACAGTATACAGGAATAAATATTCAGTTTACAAGACGGAATATCTTTCAGTCAATCAGTTGAAGTCAATCAATTGAAGTCAATCAGTTGAAGGCAATGAGTTGAAGTCAATCAGTTGAAGTCAATGAGTTGAAGTCAATGAGTTGAAGTCAATGAGTTGAAGTCAATGAGTTGAAGTCAATCAGTTGAAGTCAATGAGTTGAAGTCAATCAGTTGAAGTCAATCAGTTGAAGTCAATCAGTTGAAGTCAATCAGTTGAAGTCAATCAGTTGAAGAACCTTCTAGCCACCCGGTCTTGTTACTCGAATACTTTACTTGTCATACTGTAATGAGGCAAGAAACTGGAACACGGTATCATTAAAATTCGTTAAACAGTCTTTTGTAGATATGTTTGAATTGTTTACTTACGTAAATTGAAAGAAAATTGTTGAGTTGATCGCAGAGAATCCGTCCAAATACCATGTGATCGTGCGAGGCGAGGATTTTCGCACCAGCCAACGCCGCCTCATCGGCTCCGAGAGCTGTTGTGCAGCCAAGGCCTGATGCAAAAATTAGTTATCGAAAAATTTCGTGTACAATAAAATTACAAAGAAGTATATTAGAAGATCAAAAGAGGAAAGAAGATTTCCGAATATTCTGTGCATTTAGGCTGCAATTGTTTGGATTCTTATTGTTTGTTCGGACCATTTGAACACTGTTAAACAAAACCACCGTTAAACAAAACCAAAGAATCACTTGAAAATTCGCTAACATTTTGTTAGCTTCTACAACAGTTATCAATTGTACCTGATGGAGTGTGTAGTGATGACCAAATGTCTTGCGAAATCCACTCTGGACCTCCGGGCGGGGCGTTGATCACCTAGAAAGTGTGGGTCTATAGAGAAAATCTGATGGCTTTAATGCTTTAAGCTATGAATTACAGTTAACGGATAGATTTTGAACTTTAGTAGGAGTGAAGTACCGGTAGGAATGAATTCCCAGCAATCACAGGCCCGAGTCCATTCGAGCGTCCGGCCACGGCGATCACAACTGTCGGCACTCCGTCACCCTCGTACTCGGCAACCAAATGTAGAACCTATAAAGATGAATTTTTTTTCATTATCGTTTTCTGGTAATTTCTCATAATTCTATAGTCGTTTTTGTTCATTTTACCGTATTTGTTCGAATAGAAGATCGGGTAAAGAGTATGATCGCGTACTCCTGCGTAGCAGCCCTTTTTAAAATTTCTTTTCTGCATAAAAGCTTTCAATGAAGTGCTATAGAGCTGGAAAATGACTCAAAAATACCACATGAGCTAACAGATTTTTGAGCCAATTTCCAGTTCTATAGCACTTGATTGAAAGCTTTTATGCAGAAAAGAAATTTTAAAAAGGGTTGCTACACAGGAGTACGCTATGATACTCTTTACCCGGTCTTCTATTCGAAGAAATACGGTAACTTAAAACGAACCTCTGTCGTTGCCTTGTGAGCCGAGCAGACGCGAACGCATTTCATCACTCCCAAACTGGTCAAACTGGAAATCAGTTTTGGATTGCGTTTTTTTTTCTGGATTTCAAGTTAATGAATCTCTTCTGGTAAAATGTCGAATTGTTACTTTTTCTCGATTTTCTCGCAAAATGCCGTGTCGGCGGTGGATCCCATAATGATGAGTGCTCGACACTTTGGGAAACGAATCCAATCGCCCGTTAGCTCGGCTACCTGAAAACGTGGTTCATTAGAGCTTGAATAGAGCTTGAATCGAGCTTTTAGAATGCGAAATTAATGCCTGAGTATGCCGTAAGTTGTATAATGTAGTTGGATTACGGTAGAAGAATACTATAATCCAACTACCAGTTTTCATTCGATCAGCTCAATGTTGGTATCATTAGATGATCATTAGATGCATTAGATCGTTAGATTGTAAGATGTGAAATCACAAGGCTCAATCAATAAAGCAAAAATTTGACTAATCAAATAAAAACACTGACAGTTTGATTACGGTAGGACGACGATATAAGTTTTCAAACTGGTCTCACCTTTTCGTAGTTTTTAACGAGTTCTTGTAGAGATTCGGCTGTTACCTCTGTCATGTCTCTGAAGCAAAAATTTGGATTGGGAAATTGGCTTTCTTCAAATTGGCTTTCCAATTATGAAATTCTGAGTAAGCGTAATCGCTCGTCGTCTGGGGCAGGGCTTTTACATAGCTCTCTTCCCTCTCCGTCTGCAGAACTAATCGGTCCGAATCCTCAGACATTGACTGGACATTGACTTCTCCGTAAATCAAGGCTAATCTCAATCTATTGGGTTGGTGAATTGAAAACTGCCGGCTATTGTCATACGTCACAGTTTGAGCACTTTCTTCAAAAGGGATTTCTTTTGAAGAAAGTGCTCAAACTGTGACATATGACAATAGCCGGCAGTTTTCAATTCACCAACCCAATAATTCTTCAAAACTTTCAGTCAACTTTGAGATAATTCTGTTCTTAAATAAGTTTAAAGTTTAAAGTTTAGTTTAAGTTTTTCAATTTCCAACCTATACATTTGTTTGTCAAGTTGCAGTCGTTTGTCACCTCCAGGCCAAACACGCCACGAATCATTATCTGAAATTAAATAGAAATTAAGAACCTTTGCTTTCTAGATATAAAATTAGAGATTATCTTGTTTAACAAAATAGAATCGATATGTTAATACCAATAACATCGGCGAGCACAATTTCCCCCTTTGTTGTCACCCCGAATTCGACTTTCATGTCAATCAATTGACAATCGGAAAGTGACCAGGCCTGAAAAGATTGAATTTTAATCTTTTGATTAGTGCACCAACTTTTTCTAGAACTTGAAAAATCGTTTTCGTTTGTCGTTTGAGAAGGAAAATCTCTTCTCGACCAATCTTCAATCCATTTACGACGAATTCTCGAGAAATGATCTGCTCATCCGACCATTGAGGATCGTCGTTCTCGTCATCCTAAAATCAAGAATTAATGCAATTCGTGTTGTTGTTGTTGTTGTTGTTGTTGTTGTTGTTGTTGTTCTTGTTGTTCTTGTTGTTCGTTCTTGTTCTTGTTGTCGTTGCTGTTGCTGTTGTTGCTGTTGCTGCTTGCTGCTGTTGTTGTTGTTGTTCTTGTTCTTGTTCTTGTTCTTGTTCTTGTTGTCGTTGCTGTTGCTGTTGTTGTTGTTGTTGTTGAAGTATCAGTTGAAGTATCAGTTGAAGTACTTGTTGAAGTATCAGGATTAAGGAAAAACTTTGTATTCTTAATCTTTGAAGTGTACTTTGTGCGCACGAATGCAAATTTAAATACCTACATCGGTACAAAAAGTCAGTGTTACCTTGAAGAAAGTCTCGAGTTTCAGATTGTTAAAGCGATAGCCTTGAGGGACGCCCGGGTTTCTGAAAAGGTCATTAGTGTTTTTCACTTTAATGTCAATATTGCACAAAGTTGTAAGATTGATTTTATATCAAGACTATTTCTGACTAAACCTTTTCAAAAACGATCCAGTCGCTACTCTTCTCACCACCCATTCTATCGGGATCATTTCGCAGCGTTTCGCCACGAAATCCGTCTCAGAAACCCCCGTTTCAAAGTGGGTGTGCAGACCTGGAAAAGATTTTCGTAAATCGATTGAGCTAAAAGCTAAAAGTTTGTATTGTCTACTCAACTCTTTGTTTGCTTACAATTCATTTCAATTGTTTTAAGTTATCATTAGAATTTTCTCAATACACAAATACAGTGGTCCACAAAAGTAATGCCCCCATTGCCATTCAAAAGTATTTTTTGCAAAATTCCTCCTGAAAACATGTATTTAAAATACTTTCGAAATTCTAGTTGTTAAATACCGTATTTCTTCGAATAGAAGACCGGGTAAAGAGTATGATCGCGTACTCCTGCGTAGCAGCCCTTTTTAAAATTTCTTTTCTGCATAAAAGCTTTCAATGAAGTGCTATAGAGCTGGAAAATGACTCAAAAATACCACATGAGCTAACAGATTTTTGAGCCATTTTCCAGCTCTATAGCACTTGATTGAAAGCTTTTATACAGAAAAGAAATTTTAAAAAGGGTTGCTACGCAGGAGTACGCGATGATACTCTTTACGCGGTCTTCTATTCGAAGAAACACGGTAAATTCTCGAGAAAATCGATTAATTTTAACAGAAATTTGTCAAGATTTCAAGATAAACAGTATCAGTTCGCCATTTAAAAATGAGAAAAAATTTAGATGAGTTTCCTTATCGTTAGATTTAATAAACTGAATTTATCCCTATTCCTTTGTTCTTGTAGGGCTGCAAAATGACTCAAAAATACCACAGATTTTTGAGCCATTTTCCAGCCCTATAGCACTTCATTGAAAGCTTTTATGCAGAAAAGAAATTTTAAAAAGGGCTGCTACGCAGGAGTACGCGATCATACTCTTTACCCGGTCTTCTATTCGAAGAAATACGGTAACTGGATTTTTTTTGATTGAGATCCTTCCAATCAAAAGATCGATGTGAAAGAGTGCAATTACCCCTAGTGCAATTAAATTAGCTCCACAAAACTAATGCCCCATTGATCGTTTTTTGCTTCTCCTTCTATCTTCTATCTAAATCTTATATCCTTGAAAAGTCGAGTCTTATAGGTAGATAAAAATACCCGACTCTTTTTCTGAAATGTCGATTTTGCAAGATTTCCTTACAAAACATACTGTTTGGATGGCAATGGGGCATTACTTTTGTGGACCACTGTATCATTACCGAGTGCTTGAAGATACAAGAAAACATTGGTCGTTGTCCGACAAGCGATTGCCCCTTTTCCCTCCAAATCATTTTTCCTTGCCGCATTGAAAGCGGTTAGTTGGTTCTTCGATCGGATCAACACGAAATCATTGGTGTCCTGAAATGAGTCGTTTAACTGAATAGTATCCCGTAATCTGGTACTACATACTGTGTAAGTCGGAAGTGTTAAAATCTAGGATACCTACACTACTGGACAATGAAATATGATATTTGAAAAAAGATCGTCACTTTCGCGCGCCTGTAACTCCCTTGTCTTTACCGTATTTCTAAATATTAATATTACCATTGTGTAGCCCTTGAAAAGAGCTTTCAGAAAATGTATAACACTAATAGTTTAAACTCAAAGACAAGGGAGTTACAGACGCGCGAAAGTGACGATCTTTTTTCAAATATCATATTTCATTGTCCAGTACTGTACCTACCGGCTTTGGTTTCTGAGTTGGGTATAACTAGATAATTCAAAAAAATCGTCATCCAAAAACCCACTTTGATCTCATAAATCTCCTTCGTTTTCCCCTCAGCCAACTTCTTAATACAAGAAGCCTCATCAATTTGAAGATGTTTCTTGAAAACCTCGACGTCAAACATGCTAAATAGAGAATTTCTTGAAGAAATGGGGCTGTTTTTCGGAAAACAAGTGAATGTACTTTGAGGGAATAGATATGGAGAGTGACAAACACCCCACTCACCCATCTCATTTCATATCTGATTGATCTCCTCATTTCCTTTCTTCTCTAGGTCTCCACTTGTTGTGTACATCTCTTCTTTCTTGTCGCATTTCATTGAAATATGAAGATCAACCTATGTGACAGAGATCAGAAGTTCGGGTATTCAAAGGAAAATAAGATTTGCTCTTTGATCGAGGCAATTGTTGATATCATAAAGACCAATGATCGGTGATTAAAATATTCAAGAATCTAAATATCTAATAGTTAATAGAAAATATTGAATTTGAAAAATCTACAAAAGTCTATTATTGGGATTTGCATTACAGTACACCTCTAAATATCCAAATTAAAAGTGAGATCTGCCTACAATTTTCGGGAATGGGACAAATGCGACCTTTTTTTGCGCACCCGGACATTTGTGTCAATGATATGTCAAAATTTCGATTCTACGCCCTAAAATTACCTAGAAAAACAACTTTTGGAATAGAAATTGGTTAATATTAGCTTTTTAGAGCTTTTTTAAAACGCGAAAAATGGTGCGCTAATGGGCAAGGTGCGCAAAAAAAGGTGCGCAAAAAAAAGGTCGCATTTGTCCCACTCCCCAATTTTCTTCATTATTTACTTCATTTTCTACAAAGTAAGCTCTTTTTATTTTTAGTTACAAACTATTTGCCTTTAGAGATAAAACGCGGCAGACATCGAAAAGTTCGGCGAATGAAGAGGCAAAGAGGAGAGCACGCGCATCTTTAAAGTATACGAGACGCAGGTAAAATTTTATGAAAACTTCAAGCTGTTGCATAGTAAACAGTTACCTACTTAGATATTTTGGGTACTTCTTCAGCTGGTACCCTATTTTGGGTACTTCAGCTGGTTGGGGGGGCCCAACCATCGAAAAAAAATTCAATCGACTTATGTTTTTTTTGGCCGAATTGAACTTTACAGTCCAGAGCTAAAATACATTCAAAATCTGTTTTTTATGCTTTATTATGTCTAGTTATGCACAAAACAAAAAGGCAAAAATAATGAGGGGAAAAATTTTTAGACCAAAAAAATTCGACTTTTAATTTTGACCGTAAAGTTCACGCCTAAGGTCGAACTTTACGGTCCAAAACCAAAATGAGCTAATTTCTCTTGAACATGATTTATAATGCTTAGTTATCCACAAAAAACCATAATGAAATAATTTTTGATTCGTTTAGGTATCTACCGCTATAGATTCGATGTTCGGAATTCGTCAACGGCGTGTGCCATCGACTTCCGGTCTCGAGAGCGAGCTCGGGTTTGTGCCTGCGAAAACGATTGTAAGCGAATCCTCTTGGAGAACCGGTAATGCTATGGAGCAACGTCTTTCCTGTGAAAGTGAATGAAGATGGTATGAAGCTTAAAGGGGTATTAATCGCGGCCGGGTGACGACAAAAATTTTTTTACGGCAACCACCTGTTTTTTTATTTTAATATCGCTGATTTTATTATAAAAAGAATAAAAATCACCCGGCTAGAGTGATTTGATGGGTTTACAAATTTTTGGAGACACTTGGAGAAAAACAAGGAGAAGTTTGTTGTCACCCGGACTCCATTTCGCGGGCAAGTTTTTATGAATATTTATGAGTAATACTTTGCTGTGAAATTTGTTCAATTGTAAAATTTTAGTGCTCGTGCTGCTCAGGGGAAAGAAAACTGCGGCAAGTTGATGGAGTGTGTCTTTAAACAGGGAAGCGATCTGCCTTGGAATAAAGTTTTCTACGGTCATCATCGAATGCTGTTCACCACTGAGACGATTGACAACGTAATGTGTCATTTTTGTCGTAGTGTAATTCATTTTTTAAAGAGGGAGCAGTATCTACTGCCAAATTCCACTGAAAGAGACGGAACGTGACGAGCCAGTCTTTAAGCCGTTCACTCACGGAAAAGTTGAACTTGTTTACAAAGGAGAGCTTGAGATATCTAAGTTAAAGTAAAGCTTTGGTTTACCGTTGTTCTTTAGTTCTCCGAAAAGTCTATCTCAACTTTGAATGGTTCTCCGAGTGGGGTGGCACGTGCCAAGTTCCTCGGAAAATTTGTGGAGATTGCTGCATCAAAATATTGCTTGGACGGCGTTGTCAATAATCGCAGCGGTGAAGCAGCGAGCGATTTCTTGTATTTGTCTGGAAACCGAGTCTACTCGACGCGTAATGAAGAAACGGATAGACTCGCATTTGGACTCTGGTCTAATTCAAGTTTAGCGCCAAAATCTTTGACAAAGTGTGTGAGGCTATGACGGGAGCAAAGCGAAGGATGCCAAAAAGCGTCGTTATTTATCGCATGGGCATCTCGACATGAAGCGCATTGTGGAACAGGAAATCAAAGAAATTCGCGGGAAGCTTGACCAAGATGCACGATTGCTTTACATTATGGTTCACAAAGATCACGCCGTCCGCTTCTTCAAGAAGAATCTGATATGATTTTAACGTGATTACTTTTATGAATTATCTTTAAGTTGAAAGGGATAACCCAACGAAGCAGAACATCCGTTCTGGTACCGTTGTGGACACTTGTATCACGCACCCACATCATCGAGAATTCTACCTGAATGCCCATGTTGGATTGCAAGGAACAGCAAAAACGCCACGCTACACCGTACTTCATGATGATTCCGATAGCATAATGGCCTTACCTGCGGGTATACTCGGGTTCATTATATACACTGTGGTGCAAAAGTCCTGACCGGTCGCACTGTCCTATCAACTCTGAACCATTTCGCCAGAAAAAGAACGTTAAAATTTTATGGTAAAAAGGTTTTTGGATAGCTTAAACCTTCTACTTTTATAATCCAAAGAATGAAAGCAATAACATTTTATTTAACAAAAATTTTTGACAATATTCCGAAACGACTCAAAAAAACATGGTGCAAAAGTCTTGACCGGTTTTTTATTTCTTGATTTTTTTTTGGTATTTCTTGTCTTTCTGCATAAACTTTTTGGTTCTAATTTTATATTTTTTTAGATGCCAGGACGATATCTATCAACGCCTGACAAAGAGAAAATTGTCGAGAATCGAACAAAAGGCGTTCGCGTGAAGAATGTGATGGAAACGTTCAAGTGTTCTGAAAAAACAGTGAGACGTCTCGTGGCGCAATTCAAATCAAATGAAACGTTCATAGAGCCCAAAAAGAGGTCGACCATCAATTACAACACCAAATGAGGATCGTTCGATCATCAGGGAGCACCGAATAAACCCTAATCTAACGTCGAGCCATGGGATCAAGAAGTTGAAGGCTGTTTCTGGCAAGGATATTTCCCGATGGAGTCTCAATAGGCGATTGATTCGAGCTGAATTACATGCGAGAAGACCAGCGAAACGACCCTTGACGAATGCAAGAACTCGGAAGCCAAGATATGCTTTGCAAAGAACTACGAGTTTTGGACTTCCGATGATTGGGCCCGAGTCATTTTCACCGATGAGACTAAAATTAATTTGTACTACCCGGACGGCAACCATTTAATCAGAAGGCCAATTGGACAACGTTATAAGCTCAAATACGTTAAACCAACGGTCAAATTCGGCGGTGGGAGCATTATGTTGTGGGGTAAGTGTTCGCCCCTATTTTTTACTTACGATTTGTCTTTTTAGGCTCGATGAATCGAAGTGTATCGGGACCGCTAGTGTTTATCGATGGAAATCTCGACGCTCAAAGGTACAAGTCAATCATAGAGAACAACTTACTTCCATTTGCAAACACGAGCATGCCACAAGGATGGGCCTTATATCAAGACAACGCTCCATGCCACAAAAAGTCAGCTAATGATGGGCCGAGTTGTCCGGCTTGCAAATGGAGGAAGAGCTCGCCTACCCGGCTTTTTTGCTGCTCATCGTGTGGAATTGATCAAAGCACCTCCCTATTCGCCGGATCTGAACGTTATAGAGCATCTTTGGGCCCATTTAAAAGCCAAACTCAAGGGACGCCGGTTCAACTCAAAGGTCGATGCTTATTTCTTTATCAGAAATGTTTGGAGACAACTTTCTTTGGGAATTCTACGTGATTTGGTCGACTCGATACCTAGACGCATCAAGGCAGTCATTGTCGCAAAAGGAGGACCTACGAAGTATTGAATTTTCTTGTGTTTTCTTGTACCGGTCAAGACTTTTGCACCATGTTTTTTTGAGTCGTTTCGGAATATTGTCAAAATTTTTTGTTAAATAAAATGTTATTGCTTTCATTCTTTGGACTATAAAAGTAGAAGGTTTAAGCTATCCAAAAACGTTTTTACCATAAAATTTTAACGTTCTTTTTCTGGCGAAATGGTTCAGAGTTGAGAGGACAGTGCGACCGGTCAGGACTTTTGCACCACAGTGTATTTTACTATTTATTTAGGCAATGGCATATGATTTGTGCATTATGCACCAAATCATGAACATGCCCACAGCACTTCCATCTCCACTGCGAATCGCTGAAGAGTATGGAAACCGTGGAAAGCAAATTCTTCTTAAGCACTGGTGTGCGTTACGACCAGGGAGAAAAATGGAGTCGACACCGGAAACTTCCAAAAATTGACGCAAGCCCTCGAGTACAAATACGCTGAGGAGTTCATGGATCGTAGAATCAATGCTTAAAAATGGGGTAGGCTAATTTCCGCCATTTTATTTGCGCAACTTTTTTGACGTTTTTAAGGGACTAGCGCGAAAGCGGTGCGCTTTCTAAAGCGTTGAAGGTTTGCTAGAATCCATCGCATACTGCGGTCAGACTTTAGGAAGAAATGACGCAAATAATCAACCGTTTCAAGCTTTCATCGGCTATCAATCTCACTGTTAGACAAAAATACGCACGGAAGAAAACTGTATTGGCTCGACAAAAGCAACGTTTTACTGCTATTTCTAATGGTCGCTTGCCCGGTTGCGATTTTGTGCAACATCTTTCTCAGCTTTTGACTTATATTAAAAAAATTTGACTTTTATTGTTTTCCTAAATTTCATTGCTATACTTATCCTAACTTTCATTGTTATCGGTTGCACTTTTTTGTTAAAGCAATCAAATATTTTACTAATGGTTATTAGCTCCTAGGAAGAACTAATTTAGACAAATATTGGAAGATTGCGCAAAAAAATTGGAAGATTTCATAAAAAAATAGAAGAACATTAAAAAAACAATAAAAAAGCTCAAAAATGAAAATAATGATTAAAAACCGGAGTGCTTAATACAGTGTTAAAGTTGCGCAAATGACCCTTGTTGCGCAAACGTACTCGCGCAAATGACCCTGTTGCGCAAATAAAATGGCGGAAATTAGTCTACCCCTTAAAAATACCTCGAATTTTGTCTGTGATTTGGCAAATACCATTGTCTCTTGTGTCTCAAATCTTATAAATGCATTCTTCATATTTCATTTTTTAATTTTGTGTCATTTAAATAAATTGGTTTCATTTTATCCACCACTTTAATCTTAGAGATAACTGAGAGTTGAACTAGTTTCGACCATTGATTAAACATGCTCTTGAACTTGTACCTCATAAGCAAAGGTGGTTTGTCACACATGGTTATCTCTTGACCGTTAGATGGTCGTAGTTTGTCACTTTGAACGTTTTAACTATCACACGTTTTTCTGTTCAACTTTGTTATTACCTATCTGGAGAATGTTACAAATTTCGTGGTAAAACTGATGCAACCTCGTACTAAAAGGAATGTCGAGATTGATCCGCCCAGTTTTTTGTTGTGGCACGTAGTCGTCACCGCCACGATTTTTATTTATTTTGAATATTTGGATTGATTCACTAGTTTCAATCTGCCAACTTTATAAATTTTATTTTAAGTCACGACGGTTTGGCAACGGGCTTTGGCTTTACGTCCCACATTTAGAAGGGTATCGATCTATCAGCAAATCGCCGGCCTCGCGATGACTAATAGCAAGGAAAATCAGGAAAATGCAGCTCCCAAGGTAAAATCGTTTGTAACGTTTGTAAACTAGTCTACAAGGATTTCGTTTTTAGCTAGCTTTGGCTTCTACTGAATTGAAAGAATGGCCAGGATTCATCCAAGAACGAATAGCTCTTTGGGACAAGCTTATGCTAAAACACAAAGAAGAGTTGGCTAACAAAGTAAGTAGTTTGAAATTTTTGTTGCCTAACCTCGTTTGAAATGGTGCTTCGAAAACTTGAGTTTTAATTTTAGAAATCGGAGCCGATCAAAATAACTCTTCCTGATGGGAAACAGTTTGATGGTCACTCGTGGAAAACCACACCTAGCGATATTGCCCAGAGCATCAGCAAAAGTTTGGCTGAAAATGCGGTTATTGCGAAAGTGAACAAAGAAGTATAGTTTTCGTTTTAAGTGTTGAATCTATCTTTTTTTTTTAGTTGTGGGATTTGGATCGACCATTTGAAGGTGATGCCACTCTGCAAATTCTAAAATTCGATGATGATGATGAGGCCAAACAGGTTTATTTTTGTATTGATACAAAAGTTATCATGTTTTTTATAGGTTTTCTGGCATTCGTCGGCCCACATTTTGGGAGAAGCACTTGAACGTTTTTGTGGCGGTCACCTTTGCTATGGGCCTCCAATCGAAGAGGGTTTTTACTACGATATGTGGCATGAGGTTAATCAATTTTGAACGCTTTATAAACTCAATTTTAGAAGCAAACTATTGCCCAGGAAGATTTTTCAAAACTCGATGAAATTGTTAAATGTGCTGTTAAAGTAAGCGTTGCTAATCTTTCTAAAAAGAACTGTTTTCTTTAGGACAAACAAAAGTTTGAAAGGTTGGAAGTTTCGAAAGAAGATCTTTTGGAGATGTTCAAGTATAATGAGTTCAAGGTGTGTTTCTGTTGTTATGCCTTTTATTATTGTGTTAAGGTGCGTATTCTCAAAGAAAAAGTTAAAACGCCCACTACAACCGTCTATCGCTGTGGACCACTAATCGATCTTTGTAGAGGACCCCACGTGAGGCACACCGGAAAAATCAAGGTAAGACAAAGAACTGCATTGTATAAGCGCTAGCGGTGATAAGTTGAATGCATTAAAGTTAATTTTAGGCCATGAAAGTAACAAAATCATCGTCTTCATATTGGGAGGGAAATTGTGAAGCGGAGACTCTTCAACGCATCTATGGCATTTCATATCCAGATTCAAAGCAATTGAAAGAATGGGAGAAACTTCAAGTGTGTTTATTTGAAGCTTTCTCGCTAATTTGTTTTAAGGAAGAAGCTGCCAAAAGGGATCACAGGAAAGTAGGCCTTCAACAAGAGCTTTTCTTCTTCCATCCATTGAGTCCCGGATCTTGTTTTTGGTATGTCAAGATTCGCCTCCTACCTACAATTTTCAATTTTGTAATAGGTATCCAAAGGGAGCTTTGATCTTCAACAAGTTGTGCGATTTTATCCGCAAGCAATATCGTGATCGAGGATTTACTGAGGTTTACTGAGAAGCCTTACGTAGTTGGAAATTATCATTTAGGTGATCACCCCAAATATGTATAATTCAAAATTGTGGGAACAATCTGGTCACTGGCAACACTACAAGGATGACATGTTTACGTAAGACATATTTTATTGGTCACGAATGATCCATTCTATCATTTTAGATTTGTTGTTGAGAAAGAACAGTTTGGATTGAAACCAATGAACTGCCCTGGACACGCTTTGATGTTTGGACACATGCCTAGAACACATAACCAGCTACCCTTCAGATTTGCTGATTTTGGTGTTTTGCACAGGTTTATTTCTTTGCTAATTAGTTGTATCCGAGCTTATCGAATTTAGAAACGAAATGTCGGGTGCTCTTTCTGGCTTAACACGTGTCCGTCGCTTTCAACAAGACGATGCTCACATTTTCTGGTATTTCTTTAGTCACTTACTATACTAATCAATAAATTTCTAGTCGGCGCGATCAAATTGGAGCAGAAATCAAAGCTTGTCTGGATTTCCTCGAGTTTGCCTATGAAAAGGTAAAAAAAATAGTGATATTAAAGATGGTTAAATTCTAGGTGTTTGGCTTTACTTTTCGGCTTAATCTTTCCACGAGACCTGAGAACTTCTTGGGAGAAGTTGCTGTTTGGGATGATGCAGAAGCCGTAAGTTTGCAATTTTTAATACAATAATGGACCAATTGTAGGAACTTCAACGAGCTCTGGAAGAATCTGGCAGAGTATGGAAACTCAATCCTGGAGATGGAGCTTTTTATGGACCAAAGATTGATATTACTATCCAGGTAAAATACGATTTTTCTAATTCTATCTAAAATCAAGTTTAGGATGCTCTCAAGCGCAATCATCAGTGTGCTACTGTTCAATTGGACTTCCAGATGCCGCAACGCTTTGATCTACATTATTTTGAGTTGGTTTCATCTTCAAACTTTTATAAACTAAAATTCAGTGAAAAGGGTGAGAAACAGCGGCCAGTGATGATCCATCGAGCCGTGCTTGGATCAGTCGAGAGAATGACGGCTATCCTCACAGAAAGCTTTGGTGGCAAGTGGCCATTTTGGTTGAGCCCTAGACAAGTAACTTATTTACCTCGGTCCTGTACATTCTTTTATTCAGGCAAAAGTCATCACTGTTCATGAATCGGTAAATGATTATGCCAAGGAAGTCAAAGAAAAGGTTGCTTTTACAGTTGACTGAAATATATAAAGTTTTCTTTAGCTCTACAAGGCTGGATTTGAAGTCGAGTACGATGAGGGATGTGGTGACACTCTGCCCAAGCAAGTTCGGAATGCTCAACTTGCTCAATTCAACTTCATTCTGGTGATTGGGCAAAAGGAAAAGGACAATGGCACTGTCAACGTTCGCACTCGCGACAATGCTGTGAGTTTTGTACATTTAAAGTTGCTCTTTAAGATACAATATTTTCAATTTTTACTTTAGGTTCGCGGTGAAGTTCCTGTCGATCAGCTGATTGAGAAATTCGAGCGTTTCAGCCGCGAGTACACTCGAGACACGGAAAGTGCTGGTGATTTCTAAGATATGAGCTTCTTGTTTTATTTTTGTTGTATTAGGTTGGCGAAAAAGTCCTGACCCTTTTTTCACCGTTCTCTTCCTAAACCCTCTTGCAAAAATGATCAGAAAAATCTATAGGCTTTAAGCTGAAAAGTTCTTCCCGAACCATTATCTTCTCTAGACATTGCCTCAAGTTATTTTCACCTTTTCAAGAAGTTAGCTTTTGGTTTTGCGAGCGAACGCTTGGCCAACGATCGCGAGCTAACAAATTTTTGCACCTACTTCAACGGAGCCTAGTGAGCTTCCGTTTGTAAGAAAATATTGCATGCTCTGCCCAATAAATAGGAAGATATCATTCCTACAAATAGTCAATATCTTTGATAAATAGGAGCCGTGGTTTTTAAGAAATTGCAAGGCAAAAGGGGTCAAGACTTTCTTGCCAATCTAATACTTTTTTTTTACTGTGTATCTGTTACAATCAATATGGGGCTTTATGGGGCTTTATCTTTTTCAGTCAGTGTTAAGTTATGAATAAATTGTTTGAACGAAGCGAACTACCAAACAATTTACTGCATCCTTATCTGAGCTGGATCGAGGCATTTTATTATTGGCATTTCTAATCGTAAGCTGTCACTTTGGCTTTTTATTCAGCTAGAGTTTTGGGAGAATTTGTATAATTTTGGCTAACAATAAGACGTCAAAAATCAGTTTTTTACCTTGTTCTTTTGGAGCTTGCCTGATTTATGAAGAAAATCTCAATTTATTACCCATATGATAAAACTGCAATGAATTAAAAACAGAGGTTTGAGCAAATATTAATTGGCAAAAAGCGGTGGAGGACTAGAAAATCCATAAATAGATCTCTCAAAATCCAAGGCCTTATCGTGGAGTGAAAATGATACTTATGTCAAAAAGAAAGACATAATTGACAAACTAAATGAGCCGAAAACCGGAAAAAGAGTAAAATTAGAAAGAAAAGATTAAAATTCAAGTCCGTGTGTCGAGCTTAAAGGGAATAATGTTTAGCAAAAGGTTTTTAAAGACGACTCGTCTCCACAAAGGGTGTATCATCTTCGATGGGATCGCAACTAAACACAGAATGAAATTGAGAATTATAAATTTGGTTTTAAAATTGAAATCGTCAAGAAACCTACTTGTAATGATTTCTGAAAAGATCCCTCGTCGTCGAGCCGCGTTGTTTGTAGAAAAGAAGATAGGCTTCATCACTTTGCACCTCGGGTAACGGGCATTTCGTCACCACCGAATCGTCATATTGCCTCCATTCTAAAAAAATTCTCAAACATATGTTAGGTAAGGTCTACAAACCAATTTGTGTGGTTCTTCCATCGATCCCGGGTAATCGCCCAACTGAGACATAGTGACCGAAATACGAGGATCCTGAATGGCAGACGACACCGCACAAATCATAGGTCTAAATCGTTTAAAATTATATGACTTGGGAATAATTATATGACTTTGATTTAAAGTAAAAACGCTACCGTGTTTTGTCCCACTTCTGCCCCGTCGGCCAGATATGGTGCCAAATCGAGGGCTGTCAACGGATATTCGACTCGTCGATCATCTTTCGAACGTCTGTGGGAGGATGCATATGTTGATACTAAAGCTGCTTGTTGGTATAGTTAGATTTATCGATTTTCACCTGTATAAACAAATCTTTTCAATTGAATGATGAGTATTGGCGGGAGTCGATAGAGCTCGAGTTTCTTTGTCGCTTCGACATGATCTTTGCATCGAGAACAGTACCACGATTCCTCAGGCTTTAGCCGTTCGGTCTCCGAAAACATTGACTAAAGAAAGCTTTGCAACGTAGGAAGGTCAAAACCCACAATCATGTCTTCAAGAGTTGGATCTCCGTCACCTCCGCGGCTACCCGATGGTCCGTTCGCGTATTTGTTAGACAAATTCTCATCGATGTCCTAAAACATGAAGAAATTTGCGACCATAATCAAAACTCACTGTAGCAATCTTTGACTCAACTTCAACGTAGGGTTTCCCATTCTTCAGATTAATCCAATTAACCGATAAATATGATCCAGAAGGTAGATCGAGTGGATCTAAAGATTTTTCAAAAGTTCTTGGTGTATATGCCTTTTTTATGATGATATTTACAAACCGCCTTCTTTGTTCTCTTTGACGGTGTCTCCAACATTGGATGCTTGTGAACGAAGGCGTTTAACAATAAAAAGAGACGGTGGTGGCTTCTTTCTTGGTGCCGGCATTACCTAAAAGGATGTTTTTAAAAGAAACAAAGATGAAAACACTACTTGTCTTCTCAATTCGCTACTTGAACCATTGACCGATGGAGATAGGGAATTCTAAAGATTCAATAAGTTCAAAGAACCGAAAAGCTAAATTTACTCGACTGGCACTACCATCTGTGGTTGTAATCGGACCTAATTCGTCCGTTGAAGCCTCTCCATTAATAGTTGATCCACTGCCTGAAACTCAGATCAAGAATAAAGAGTAAAAGATTCAATGAGAGACCACAGATCCCGATAAGGACAGGTTATGATTTAATAACAATTAGACACAACATTAGACAAACTTGATGGCGGAATTCCATCGATTTCCGTCTCTCCATTGCACGAGTGATCCGACGAAGAACGATTGAGCTGAGGGGGCAAAAAGATTTGAATTGAATGTCTAAAGTTTGGGGTATACTTTGAAAATAGGTATTCTTCAACCTGCTTCTAGCATCGAGCACCCGAACGAGATGGGCGTAAGTGAGATGAGAACGCGGAAGAGACACAAGGATTGGTCCACCAACTAAATTTAAATTTAAATTCTGAAGTACTAACAAGTGTAAAAAGTAAAAGTACATTCAAAATTTGCGGTACCTGAATCAATGGTCGCTCTTTTTCCACATTCACCCCGGTGAGAGCCTTCATTCCAATCTTTCAGTTGGCAATCCCTGAAAAGAAATGAATACCTTGCAAAACTATCCATAAAATATTTATTGTCAAAATAACTCACTGATCACAATACCACGCATTGTAGCACGCCTCACAACTTTTCAACTTCTCCTGTGTTGATCCACAAGCGTTACAAACATATCTAAATTTAGCCATATTTTATTGAAATCTAAAAAACTTTACTTGAGCGAGTGCGCATAAAGTTGTCTCTGCACAGCGTACAGTTCAACAATGTCCTCGTTCCAATCTTGAGGATCATGAACCTGGTATCTAAAATTGATATTTAAAAAGGGAAACACGTTTTCTAAAAGACAACTTACACATAGAGTGTATCCCCTGAACTGAGCAAATTTGTCGGCTCATCACTTGTGTACACTTTATGAATTCGGTGTTGAACGATCTCAATCAAGCGCATCTGAACCCAGTAAGTGACCGTGTAAAAGAAATTCAAAACTTACGTGTTTACTCGGCTGTTTCACAAGTTCACCAACAGCTGTAAGGAAATCAGCGACATTTCCCTCGGGCGAGAAAGAAATTGAAAGACGAATCGGACGAAGTGCTGGATCGAGAGGCCAGAAAAGAATCTGGAAATAGGAAATTTGATGAAACATAGAAAACACACACCTTAACAGTCTTTTTCTTCTTTGGGAATGGGACTGGCAAGTAGACAAACGGGTCGAAAGTGATCGATACTCTTGAACAGCGAGGGCATTCGAGACGTGACTGAAAATTGTTGATGAGAAGCTAAAGGCTGTAAACATTCACCTTTAACTGTCCGTGGAATAAGTCGACGAAGATCGAATCGTTTCTCAACAAATATGTTCTCCAAGCCTCAGCAGCAACCTATACATACAACATTTTCTAGTATTTTAACAAGTATTTCGTACCTCTCTATCAGGTCGTCCATTCGCTTCAACGGTATTTGTGGCCACTTTACTCCTCACTCGATTCGTATCTTCGTGCAAGCCATCCAACAAAAACGAGAGAAACTCGTGGGCGTCGTGTTGAGCGAAATTGGCAAATTGCGACGCCTTTTCGGCCACTAATTCCTAAAATTGAATTTGAAAGGGGCTAGATTTGCTGCAAAAACCTTGATTTTGACTGGTTCAACCGCGCGATTTGTGCACGACCACATTTGCCGCATGAATTGAGCAAACGCGTTGGCCAAACGTCCCTAAAATAGTAAATTAATGCACTTTACTTTAAGATTTAGTTGAGATATTGTTTGTAATAAAATCTTACTCCAAACCCAAGCATGTTATGCTCGTTGACATCTCGCTTGTAGAGATCTTGCAAGAAGTAGGCTTTCAATTCAGCATTGTTGACGAGCATCTAAAAAATAATTTCATTAACACGCTTAAAACTAACAAGTACTGGAATAGTTTAGCATAACCATGAACGTTCATTACATAAAGCTACTAGAAACAGTTTGGTCAGTTAAGTGCAAAAAACCCAAAAGCGCCAAACCTGCAAAGTGGCATTCATGAAGCACGTGTTCCCAATATTTCTCAATCCCGTGAATCCCGGTGACACGATTTGACCGCTTTCTTCATATGGTGATACCTAAACACGAAAAAATAATGATTTTTGCCATCCAAATATATGGACAACATGTTGCACAAAGCGAGCATTTTTTTCTGTTTTCTATTTTGAGGACAAGACATGATGGGAATTAGATTTTTTGATATTTGCATGAATTTTTAGCGATCTGTTAATAAACAAAAAGTTCATATAAAGTGATGAGTGAACTCGAGACAGAAAAATCTGATTAGGACATTTTTTGGTGGAACCTGAAGTGTGGGGATTTGTCGACTCTTCACCGGAACCGGTAAAAATGGGTCGACTTCGGGTATAACGGGCTAAACGAAAGAACAATGAATGGATTTTTGATTTACAAATTTGGTAATTAGCTTTAAAAAAGGGCGACTAGATATTTTATAGAATGGATTAGAAGCTTAGGCTACTTTTTGAGTCACAAACACATGCATTCAATGCCACACGTCCAGCGCAAGATTTTCTTTTGTGGAAAGAAATCAGAGCGCGCAAAATTCTCGCAAAATTGAAAACTAAGCAAAATGGTTAGTTGCTGAAGAGAAACTTAAAAAGAATAAAAAGTTTTGAAATTTCAAACAAAAAAAAGAGCTCGCACATGGACGTGGACATTGGAATGCTTGTGTATTGTGCTTTATCAGATCACTTCGTTTGTCGAAAAAATGGTATTTTATCGATATGAAAAATGTGTTCGAAGAAAAGAAATTGTCACATAAATTTTAAAGGTGGGGAATGACTTTAGTTGAAAAAGCTTGAAGCACCGGGTGTTCTAGAAATTGTTAGCTTGATCCTTATGCAAGGGATTACGGTATGAAAAATTTTTGCTGAGGTTAGAAATGTCAGTAGAAGGCTTTCTGGGAAATGGGGAACTTGGCAAGAGATGTAAAAGATGATCAAAATGGATATTGAATTCTAAAAGTTTTTAAAGGAAAACTAGATGGGAAATGGTTGCGGCATGTGACCGCCGCCTTCACCGGGCATCCCATATTTGATGAGAGCGATACGACCGCGAACCTTGGCTGTCGGTTTTCTCGTGTATTCGGTGACGAGATCCCGGTGAACGATCTCTTTCTTCAGATAGGACCGAGTAGGAGTGGGTGAAGTGGGAGGACTCTGACTTGCCGCTGGGTTTTGTCCACCCTGTGGCTCTATCGTTATTGGTTCGGACCTCGATGAGGGGACCTGAACAACCAAATTGGAGATGGTTTATGGTGTTCTCTTACAAAAGATGAACATTTTAAATTATGAGTCTTTAGTGCAATACTCCTCATGCCTTGCATCCAAACAAATTTGTTCGGAAAATTCGGAATTACCAACCTTATTATTTTGCAAATACGGCGGATAAGCTGGCACAGCAGGGGCTTTTGATACCGAAGCTCCGACATCATCATTTTGTTGATCATAATGCCGGGATGGAGAAGAAGCAAAAGTGTCAAAAGTGTTTGAGGATCGAAGAGCGCTTTTTAGTGGATGACCATTAATCGAAGAGGAACCAGCGACTTCTCGATGGTGCCCTAAAAATGCACGTATTACATTACGTTCAATCAGTCTAAATTATCAGTTAGTCTTTTAAAAGAAACCTTGAATCTCATCCTGATACTTTGTTTTGTTGGTGAGTTGTCCAAGCGCAGCGTCCCGTTCCCAACGATCATCCCATCGCACATGGTGACCGGTTGTTGATGTGGGAACTCTTGTTCGTGGAGAAGTCATCATCTGAAGAGATGGAGAGGTTGCTCCTGCTCGATTCTTCAACACCTCCTCCAATTCGAGCATCGCTTTTCCCGATTCATGTCTCGATGGAGATGGGGTCCGATTTTGAGTATCTAAACAGGCAACTTTTAACAACAGCAATCAACTTCATACCAATTTGTGCTCGAAGTCTGTCTCGGTCTTCCCATTCACGATAGTCATTCTCTTGTAGTTCTCGGTTGGCACGTTCCGAAGCTTTACGGTTCAACTCTCGAACAGAGGGGCCCCTAAACGCATCAAACTGAGTTGAATTTTAGAAAACGACAAAACCTGTAGCCCGAAGTGATGATTTGTGAGGAAGCTCGAGGTCGGCCTAGCTGATCTCTAGATGATAGAGTGTGCGTGCCGGAGATCATACTCGAGTTATCCGAGGAAGCAGAGCTTTGTCCAGAATATCCAGAATCGCGGCTTCTAAAGGCAAAGGGTAAACATGGGACAAAATTTTCCAAACCTATCCAAAGTCGAGGAAGAGTTTCTCGAGTATGTCGATGTATCACCGAGTCTGGTGAAAGATGACTCTCTTTGATAAGTGTTTGATGGCGTGTAAACGGTGGTTGAGAAAGGGCTCCGACTCGTTGCAGTAGGGCCAGTCGACGTTGAGTATAAAGATCTAAAATATGAAAATAGACTAATTTCTAGGTAAATTGTTAACCTGTGATAGGTGGGCGTGGCAGAAGAGGAATTTGTTCTTGGCAGCGTTGTTGATCCAGCTGCAGCCGATGATGAATCTGATCTTGTTAAAGAACGACTCGTGGCAGAGTGAGTCGTTGATGATCTGAACCGCATTTTCAAATAAAATACAAGAAATTCTTTTAGAGATGTTTGAAGGATTGTGTATTTATAATTCCTTTTACCTGGTCAGTGATCGATCGGCGGCAGCCGAGCTTCCATATGGAGTCGTGTAACTAGTCGTTGTGCCCGAGCTGTACGAAGGAGTGTAACGATAAGACGATAAACTAAATAAAAAAATGAAAAATGAATTCTAAACCAATGAAAACCTGCTTCCATAGCTACGACTTGGTGTGTAGTTTGAGCTTCGAATCGATGAAGTCGACGAGGAGAGTCGGTTCCATGAGCCCGATTCCGATTTGCGCATCTTGATCTCTTTTCCGTCGAACTAAACATAAGTAATATTTATATTTGTATCAAAATCTATCAATGTATATCAGTTATCAAAATTTTAGTATTACCTCTATTTGATTAGCTTCAATGAGTCCCTGCAGAGGGCAATGCCAAAGAAAGGTTTGACTCGACTCAAAAGGTCCGTAGCGTTTCAAGAGACGATCATCCGCACAACTAAACGAGAAATTAATTAGTTAATATAGAGCTGCTAAAAAGCTTTTGATGTTTACACAGATTTAACTCGGCGTAAGGGTAATTTAAAGATTGAAATTTCAACGGGAACTAAACAGAGTGTCGAAAAATGTTCAAGTACCAAAAAACGAGTTTGAGAATCTCAAGATAAAAAGTTCACTGAACAAACAAAGTTGTCTAAGACAAAAAGTCCTGAAAAGGTAGAAATTTTGACTATAGCATAAAAACTATAGATCAACCCGTTTCTCCCAGATAGTTTCCAGGTATTGCTGTCTGTGAAGGGAGACTTTAAAAAGAAAGACATGCAGAAAAGAGATAGAAAAGACAAAGGGCCAAAATGTGGATCCAAGGAAGAGATATACACACACCTACCCCCCTTTCCCCTCCCTCACACACACCATCCGGATTACACATCTCGTCTCCTCCCCTTTCTCCCCATTAGATTCTCGTGTGGAAGCCCTTCTCCCTCTCCCATCTCTTTTCCCTAATTTCTTTCAACTTTTCGGTTTCTTCCTCGTTTTCGTTTCTTTTTTCTTGTTCCTTTCAGTGATATTTCTCCACTCATTACACACAAAGGGGCACATTGGAACAGTTTTCTCCCAAATGCCCATCCGTCTTTCGATTCGATTGAGCGGCGAGGGGAGAGTAGGGAAACGTTTTCGAGGTGGTAAATTAATCTCAACCCCAGCGAAAGACCTGGGGGAGCTTGAGATTTGGATGGAAATTTTTATAGTTACAAATTGGTTTTCGCCTTTGAGAAGTTAGAAGCAAAAGGAATTGTCAGGAATTGATAACTCAATTTTGCAAAGATTCCCCTTTCCTTTGCGTAAGCGCCAAAGTTGCTAACACAGATAAACAAAACAATTTGACAAATTTCTGAGGAATATATAATTGTCGAAAAGAAAACTTCCAAAGAAATGCCCATTTTTAAGCATAGGGCGTCGTCCTGACAACAGATTCGGTCAAAATCCATCGGGGATTTGGAGAAATTAAAATAATTTATGATGAGCCTAGTTTTTAATTTGGTATCATGTCGGAAAGCCATATTTTGGGTTTCAAAAGAAACGTCGAAATTTTACAGCGAAAAGAAACCTGGAAGTGAAGTGAATCTCAAGGCTATCAGGATGGGCGATGATTTGATGTACTTCGATGCCACTAAAAAATGCAATTTTAGGAAATGGTCTAAATTTACGTCAAATTTAATAAAATATCTATTATTCCAACTTTTAAAATGATATTTTAGAGTCAAAATGCTCACCGATGAGTCAGACGTATCACCGCGACGGTGGGAGTCTCGAAAAAGCCGTACTTCAGAGAATCTAAATCGAAAAATAATCTAAATTCATGATTTTGGCTTATTCTTTTAAAGCAAAAGTGGTACTGACAAAATCCCAGTCTTAACTAAAACGAGAGTCCTTCGTTCTTTAGCAATAACATGAAATAATTTGGGCAAAAAGAATGAATACTAATTGATAGCCACTACAAATAATGATAAGTAAAAAATTTGTTTGATAAACTTAGGGTCGACTTTTCGAATGTTTCCACTTCTTTCTTTTCTCACGCCTATCGAGCTGGCACCAGACGGATGCCAGAGAAAAGAATGGGATGAAAAGAGAAAAAAAAGACGTGCGAAAAAGAGGGAAAGAGCTGAGTTTTTGGGTGAGAGTCCAGAGAGTCTCGCGTGCAAAGAAACCCCCGCGACAAATTTCATAACATTCGGGGAAAATAAATAAGTACCCTCTCTGTGTGTGGGGGTGGATATTGTTTCAAAAAAAAGAAGCCAAAACATAATGAGTTTGGAAATTTTTTTTTGAGTGTATAACAGGGAAATTTGCCTTTTCTTTGAATTTGAGAGTCAGAAGGGGAGACTTTATACGATAACTAGCTACTGAAATTAAGGAAAAGATTGATGTAATCAACCTTTTAAACAAGGCTAATATCTTCAAAAAGGAATATTGATTTTAATAAGTTACGCAAATTATGTAAAATGGTGACTCACCCAGCGAGACGAGAGTCGGCTGCGGTTCTTCGGGCTCTTCAAGAAAATTTGCTGAAGAATCTGAATTGAACGATTATATCAAAAGAACGAATTTTACTTAATTTTTAAAATAAAAAAAGCTACCTTCTGTTTTTGTAGAATTAGAGGCAAAAATCGGATCGAAAAATGCCATCGAAAAGTGATCGGAGTCTAAAAACTTCGAAAAATTTTTGAGACACGGATAGGGATTCAATTCAATGCATAAAATTATATAAATTCTTTCAAATTTTACAATATTTTACGGGCCAATAATAACAACATAGAAAACTCACCAATACTCATGTGATCATCGCTGGATGTCGAGGGAATATCCTCGCCGTCACTCATTTGCTTTCTAAATCAAGTATCATACATACAAAAGTTGCAAGGTTTAAGAAATAAAACAACTCAATTCTCTGGCAAAATTCTTTCACGTCCTCGTGATAATTTTGAATAGAAGGAGAAAAGAGGAAAAGAAAAGTCATTTTTCTTATCAAATCCCGCCCAAATTTGTGGAAAAATGCAAGTAATTGGGCGAGTTAAGGCAAACTAGTAAAATTAATTGTAAAAAGTGAAGAACAGGTACTATTGAAACAATTTAAAAGTCATTTTTAAGATTTAAACTTCAGAAACATTCCGGGAAAGCATAATATAGAGATATAGAAAAATATAGAAATATAGAAAAACGTTAAATACAGAAAAACAGAAAATTTTAATATTTTTAATTTGCAGGAAAAGTCTTTTTACTCAAAAGTGAGCCATAAGATTTCTTTTTAAGCGCAAAAAGGAGGAATCAATGTTGTGCAGAGCAATAGTATTTTGAGGGGAGACCAACCCAACAAAAAAGGCACACACGCAGAAGAGAAAAACCAAGCAAATACATGAAAAAAGGGAGGGAAACCAAAGAGAGAAAGAACTCACTCAAATGCTCTTTTTGGGAGTTTTTTTTGTCTAACTTGTAGAAAAAGAGCTTGGGGAATTTTTACCTTCTTTATTTTTGTTTTTAAACCCTTTTTCAGGGTTTAAACAGTTTCTGAAGTAATCGATTGATGGCAGTCATTGTTCTTTCAACACTTCGATAAAAATTATTTTACTTCAAATTAGGGGAATTTCAAAGTAGGGGAATTTTTAAAAATAAATCTTGCACTAGGTTGGTTTATTTTTTTTTTGCGGAAAAACCATAGCAACAAGAGAAAGCCGGTTAGAATGTTGAAACCCAGAGTCAATCTGAAATGTTTTTTTTTTGCACAAGTGACGGTAGCCTAAACAGAAATTAGCACGCGGCGAAAAGATTACGAAAAGAAAAGAAAAGATTACAGTAGTAACGCGCAAGACACAGTACTGTCATAAGGTTACACTGTAGATTACAGTAATGATAATAATAATAATAATAATACTTTATTCAAACGATAAAGTGAAAGAAATCATAGAGAAATGCACAGTGATACTTAATCATACAATACATACTGAAATGATGCCTGTAATGATCCAAGTTTATCCAACCGCTTTTTTTGAGGGTTAATGAGGATACCAAAAAATACCAAAAAATACCAAAAGTCCAGGATCAAAAGCCAGACTTCGGTAATTGGCAGAGTCTAGAGACAGATTACAGACAGATTACAGACAGATTACGGTAGCTGACTCAGTTTAGAAAACACTTAATTTCTTGGTGACTCGGGAATTTTCTCTCCAAAGTAATTCTAAATTTTGAAAATTCCCGTTGTTCTAATTGTATGCGTTGAAAAATTTTTGCCAAAGCCAACCAAATTTTGTCGTTTCTCCCCTTTCACTTCAAAAACCTAGGTCAAAAATGTTTTCTGCTTTGTAGTGAAGTGTTTATTTGAAAGTGTTTCCCTTTCTTTCTTCTCCTTGAGACCTCCTCTCGTGTTATCAGCCACTGTCCGTCCGGCGGGGCATCAATTGATTTCCTCAAAATAGATTGGATCATTTACCCAATCCAAATTTATTCGTTTACCAATTTTTTTTATCAACCATGGACTTGAACAGTCATTTCGATTCGGATATCGTTTTCCTGAAATTGCCGCATTTGTTTAAGCCGCTACAAGTGGTGAGTTTGAGTGGGAGATCGAAAGTGTAAATGTTAAAAAGATTTACTATACAAAAATATTTAAGGAACTAACTTTTCTCGGCTTTAGAACTTGTCATACCTTCTTTTATAAAAAACACATGAGGAGAACTCTCTTGTTTGTGTTCCTTGTCAAACAAGAGGTAGACATTTTCAGATTTGTGCCATTGTGTTGGCGATTTGTGTCGGCTCGACAGGTGGCGGCGAAAATGGAGTGATTTGGTTTGTGGTCTTCGTCTCGCTGATCATTTCAGCGTTGGCCACCGCCCTCTTTGCCTTGAAGATTCAGGTTTGTGGGTCCTGTAAGTGGATATTTTAACTCATAGTTTACCATAAAGATCGTAAGTTACCTTCATGAAACTCCCATAAACTTTGTAAGGTTTAAAAGGTGGAAAACAAAATCTATGGCAAGGTGGATAGTGTAGGGAATAGAATAAGGACCGTAGTTAAAATTCTGTAAGGATTAAAAATTAGAAGACACATCGCTGGCAATCGTATAAAGCTGTGAAGCCTTGGTAATTAGAGTCACAAGTGTTAGATCCAAGATCTTTGATAACAAAGACCTACCGTAAATACTGTAATAGTACCCCACTCCCCTCGTACAGTCGCGTAGTCGCAAAAGTTTTTTAGTATTTCATTTTTTTTCAAAGCGCCAGTACTTTCAAAAAATGCGTCTTTGGTATCAAAAAATAGTTGAAATTCAGGGCTATTTTTTGATACCTAAGCGCGCATTGTAGCATAAACCAGTGTCGAGAAAAACTCGTTCAAAGCTAGACTACGCAGCGCTCCGCACCGTCATTATGAGAGTGGGGTACTATTACAGTATTTACGGTAGGTTCTTTTTAACCTATTTTTGCACCGTACACGAAAATTCTCATGCTAAAGTTTGACTTTACATAAGCAAGTCATATCAATATTCTTATTTCCGCAATCACTCTAATTATAGGATTCGGTCATTGAGAGCATATCAAATGGATCACTCACATGGAGTGTTGTCGTAAGTTTCCTTCAAATTGCCATATCAAAAGAGATCCCTAGGAAATGGTCTACTCTTTTGTTCTCGCCGTACTATCAGCAATCAGCATTTGGTTATCGTTTGGGCTCGCTTCGAAAGTCATTTTTGGGTCATCAGCTGGCTATATAGCTGCAGGGGTACAAAAGAAAAGCTGAGCTTTAAAAATGAACTTTCAGCTCTTTTTCATTGTGCATGCCGTACTTTATGCGGCTCCGTGTGTGATGCTTTATGATGCGATGCAAGCGAATGGGAGAGCTGAAAGAAATGATGTACAGGTTTGTGCAGTAGCTGAAAATAGAGTCGGAATCGCTATGCTCAAGCGCGTGTGACTAGGGTAGTTCTTGCAAGAGTACGGTAGTGGGTAGTTTTCGAAAGTTTAAAACAACCTTCAGCCACAGGAGGTACGGTAATCCGCAATGTAACCTATCTTTCAGGTCGCTCATCCATTCAGCGAAAGCTCGTATCAATACGATGTTTGATTCTTGTGAGTCATGGTGTACCGAAGAAAAAAGATCTCCTTTTTGTAAATAAATTCTTTGGCTAAACGCAACAGTTCAGTAATTAAAGCCTTTACTTCTCCAAAAAGTCTTCTTTCTACAGATTTTTGGAAGAACGATTAAATGCAACAATTTGTGTGGCTAAACCGGGTGATGATGGCCCTTAACTCATTGTCAGAGCAGTACTTACTCTATGTTGCGCTTAAACTTTATTAGTCTTCAAGAGAAAGTTCAGCCCAGTTGGGTGACTGAACCAGTTGAGAAATCCCTTAACTCGTAGCGCCAGATCCTGTTTTTCGAAAGTTTGTGATCAAAGTACGCACAGAGCTCAATGGGTCTATGCTTTAAAACTTTCAATTCAGTTATGCTTTTGGGACACAGTTCACGATCAAGTAGGCATAAAGCTCAATGAGGTCTAGGTTTTAAAATTTTCAAATCTCCAAGTCCAACTTTGCCAAATCCCGATCAACTCTTCTACTCGAAACCCAAGAGCAACATGCAGAAACTCATCAAAATCAACAAAAAAGTAAGTCAAAGATACAGTTCAATTTTCCCAATTTCTTCTCTGACCAACCATTTATTTTTAAACACTTTCGCACAATTTATTTACGACAAAGGCCTTGGCTGCCATTTCGGACGACAGCTATCTATGTTAGTTGTAGACCTGAAAATTTGCAGCCGGGAACATTCTGGGATAGAGAATATGAATCCGTTATTAGTTTTTGAGCAACTTTAATTTTCAAGCCAATACTGTCATCACAAAACTCTCTAAAAACTTGGGTAATTAAACCAAACTGGAGAAAAAAAGAGCGAAACTTTTTGGGTTCTGCCCTATATCCCTAGAGGCCGTGTGCCAGAAGCCGCACGATTACGTAAACATGAAAATTTTCACGTTTTTGTAATCGCGCGCCTTCTGGCACACGGCCCTGGATGTGGAGTCGCACTTGTCTAATTAAACCGGATGAAATATCCAAAAATAGATCAGCTTTCTTTAAAAACCACGGATTCGAATTCCTTGACCCCGAAAAACCCCTGGCGCAAATTTTCAGCCAAATCGGTCTCAAAAAACCGTAACCGGTGGGCCTTATCGTGGCAAATGTTATGCATGCCATATCAAAGCGAGAAATCGAGAAATTCTTTGTAAAGTTCGGAGCACAGTTTGTGAGGGTCGCTTCATTAAGGGATGGCTGTCATCGTCGATTTTGCGGGTGCTCTGACGGATGCTCCTCCAGGAAGTCAATCTAAATTTGAACATTATAGAATGAAACAAATAAAGCAAAGTAAAAGAAAGAAACACTTACCGCCAACTTGCACATCGGCCCATCCCATTGCGCCGACTTGTGGTAGAATGTTGAGGGCAGTACGAGTCGAAGTGGCGGGAGCAGTACCAACGGCTGTCATTGTTGAAGTTCCGGCGGGCGCTTCTCCTACAGCGGCCATCGTGGAAGCTGTAAAGGAAAATTTTATGAACGAATGTAGGTCAAATGTTAAAATAACCAACAAAATTACTCGTTAATCTCAAAATAGGAGTAAAAATTACTCAAAATATTTACTTCCTTTCAAGACCGTCATCGTCGAGATTCCAGCGGGCACTCCTCCCACGGCGGTCATCGTCGATTTCTGTCGATTTCTGCAATGGGTGCTCCTCCAGGCAGTGAACCTAAAGTTAACCATTATCAAAAAAAAGTAGATAGCAATAAAAGAAAGTAAAACTCACTGCCAACTTGCACATCGACCCATCCCATTGCGCCGACTTGTGATTGGAATTGGGGAGCCAAAATAGAAGAAGTTAAAATTGAATTCTAAAAGTTACCAGATTTCGTAGCCGATCAAGGCACTCTAAAGTAGACCGATTGTTCTTGATTTGATTCGCCGGGTGCGTAGTAGTCGCTCACATTTCCTTGACCTCCCTAAACAAAAAAATCAAGGTTGTACATTAAAAGTATAACGGAATATAAGGGATTAGTTTATCAAATCAATCAATTACAACAATTAACAATTAACTAATTCTAATCAACCAATTCTAACAAGTTAAAGCCAAAAAAACAGGCAAAAAAATAAGAAACACAAAGCAATACCTGGGGCAGCATGTTGGGGTAAACCTTGTTGGGGGCGGCTCCTCCCGATGTGCTGGCATGAAGTAGGCGCCCTTCTGTCCATCAAACATTGCTTCCATATAGACGGATGATATCTCGTTGCGCTTGTCGAAGTTGTGGTGAAGCGAAGTGAATATGAATCATATTCACTAATATATGATGCTGCTCGAAAGCGGTTTGTTTTATTTAACGGATAAATTAATTTTGGGAAGTTGCACGTAAATTTTGATTTAAAGACGATTTGTGAGTAGGCTACTTTGCGCCAAATTTTTTGCGCAACTGGATCATTTCCGCAACTCGCTATAACTTTCTTCTAAGTGGGTCAATCTTTATGATTTTGGTTTCATTTTGTTGCACTTATTGAGATCTACAAAATGAAACCAACATCATAAAGATTGATCCATTGGTTAGAAGAAAGTTATGGCGAGTTGCGCAAAGGACCCAGTTGCGCAAAAAACTTGGCGCAAAGTAGCCTACCCCCGATTTGTTAAACGTAAATTTTCGATTATTCTCCCTCTTTTCATTTTCTTTGGGTCATAAACAGAAAACGAATGTCCTTAAAACTCATTTTTTTGTGATCTTCTACGTTCTCATTCCCAGAGCCCTAGAGGCTCAGCCGTTGACGCTAAGCAAAAACACACCCCCTAGAATGATCGACCGTTTGTTCTCTCCGCCATTTTCTCCGAGAAATCCCAATTTTGGACTTTTTGGAAGAAGAAAAGTTTAGGTTTATCCAACTTTCACCGCCCAATTTCCATTCTCCGACTTGTTGCAGGGTTATCTCTTGCTTTCCCTATACGAAACACAACAATTGTCACCCTGAACACATTTTCGTTTTGCTCTAGAGTTTGCACTTTCCCGTTCATCTATTTATTACTGACACAGAGAATAACCCTGGCACGATAAATTAGGAAATTTTATGTGCAATGAAATCAAAACAAATGTTTTTGTAAGAAGATCAATGTTGGCTCTTTCTTTAAGGTTGTGCCATTTCAAATTGAGCGTTGCACCTGTTTCCTTTCCCGGTTTATTTCAGTCTTTATTTCAAGTTTTCTTTATTATTAAACGTTTTTAATCTTTTATTTTCCAGGAACGGTAGAAGAGAACGGTGGAACCGGACTCCTTCGAAGTTTGATCTCTCGATGTCTTCGGCGATTTCCCGTGCCAATTGGGTCACCTTGTACAAAAATCTGCAACGAGAGGCCGCTAAAGTGAATAGATTTCGAAATTCTTAACTGTTTATTACTTTAGTTCCCTCAATATAACTATCGTGCTTTCTTCCAACGCCGAATCAGGGACTATTTTGTGAAGAATCGTTCTGTTGCTGACCCAAAGCAGTTAGAAGCTTTATACAAGGTTGGTTCGCATTTGTTCAATCACTATTGAAAAACTATAGGAAGGTCAACGCAATCTAGAAGTGATCCGTCGACAGGCAACCATCAATTCTTTGTATCCTCATCAGAAGACAGCTGTTGAGGCCACTTTGCAACATTAATTTCATTTTACTAGTGAGTTTTCGTTAATGAATCTTGTTCTCATTTTGACATTTAGTTTAACAACAAAAATGAGGGAGTGTAGGAAATGTAAATCAAGTGAGTATACAAACAAAAATCTTATAATGCTTATCAATGAATGTGGTCATCCTCTTTGTAAGTTTCTCAGATCTTTTTTTTGGTTATTTTTCATTTCTAGGCAAAAACTGCGTCGATAATTTATTTGCTAGAAATGCGGCACCTTGTGAAGTTTGCGGCAAGATGTTGAAGTAGTGTTAATTATGCTTTTAAATGGATAAAATTTCCAGGAAAAATAACTTTTGGGAGCAAGTCTTTGATGATCCAGTTATCGAGAAAGAGAACTTTATTCGGAAACGAATTCGCAAGGTTTGACTTTTATTAAATCAAATAACGCATTTAAATTTTAGATTTACAATTTGCGAGAAGCCGATTTTCCAAACTTGCGCGAGTTCAATGACTACCTTGAAAGGGTAGAAACAATCGTTATGAACTTAATTCATGAGGAAGATGTTGATGGAACGGAGAAAGAAATCAAAGCTTTTCAAGTAATAGAAAAAGTGGAGTTTGCTGATAAACAAAAAGTTTAGGAAGCGCATGGCGAGGATATTGAGCGTAATCGAAAAAAGCTGGGCCCGGATGAGCTGTGGATTCAACAACAAATCAGAGAAGAATCCGCGATGAAAGCTCGATTGCATGATTTGAGAAGCACTGATGAATTTGTAAGCATTTACAGTTAGAAAACAAATCCAAGTTAGGTATTCACTTTTTTACAAGTTTTTTTCTTTTAGAAAGTTCATCAAGACAACCAAAACATCAAAGAGGCAAAAGAAGTTATCAAAGAACTTCGAGATTCCAATGTTGCCGCAGGATTGATTTTGGATCGAGAACGAAAGAGGTGTTTTAAAAATAAGATTTTGTGAGTTACTGATTTTAGGCAAATTGAACAAGAGTTAGAAGAACGCGAAGAGGTGGAACGTCGCAAAAAGATGAAAAAAGGTGCTTATTACCCCTAAAAGCAACTATTGCTCTTTTAGATCGTAAAAGATTGGATGGTATCAGCTTTGCTGCTCATCGTATTGCTGGACGGGCCTACATTCACAAACCGGTGCTTCTCGAGCTCAATGGGCCACCAATGCCAACCATGGAAGAAATTGAATCAAGCGGGTACTTACAAGTGAGTTTATCAAGTTTTTTTAACATAAAACAAAAAACTTGAGGTAATAGTATTTGATAGTTGCCTTTTTGTTTCCGCAAAAGAATTTACTATCAGTCTAGAGCAAAGGGTTTCAACTTCCGCTAAAATTCCCTTTGTTGTTATCTTTAAAATTCTCTCATAAAAACTATCTAAATAATAAGTTTTTTTAGTGGGTGCGAGAGCCTTCAGCGCACCGACGAGCTGGTGGATTCACTTCGGCGATCGCTTGTTATCGAGCTCTTCTTGAGGTCCGCCTCGACTTGTTTGCAGTTCAACAAAAGAAATCTATTGCAATTGATGGATGACCACATTATTATTATTTTTCTTTCTGTTTTTGTTTTGTGTTATGTTTTTAGGGTTAGTGAATGAATAAATTGTTTTCAAAATTATAATGGTTAAGTCTAGTTTTTGCTGTAATTATCGATAGGAGGGAATGAGTTATAGTTTTACAATAGATAAAAGACAAATTGCGTAGGTGGGCTGAATGCGATGCAAGATCCCGAACTTGCCGTTGTTTACAGTGCTATCGAGGTTTGTTGGTTAGAAGATGAGTCAAACGAGGTCCATTTATTATGCTTTGCCTATATTTTGTAGGTAGAAGCCATGTTAGATTTTTGACATGTTTATATCAAAAGCAGTCAAATGCAGATCTAAAGGCAAACCAATTAAGGTGTTCTACTCGGGCCAAAACAATAGTCAAGCAGCGACGTGGCTGGACGATTTTCAAAAATCGGTAAATTGTGGATTTGCTCGTAAAGTATTAAAAATCGTTTTTAGATTTTAGCTTGGACAGCTTGCGATAGAATTCTCGGAGAACGAAAGAATCCGGTAGCCAGGTGAGATTTGCAGTATTTCGTGAAAAGATTTTTGCACAATCTTTGTAAACGCATTTTCAAAAATTCTTTTTTAGCTATTTTGCTGCCCAAACACTTCGACAAAAGATTTTGAAAAATCTAAAAGAAGTCCCGAGAGAAAGTTTGGAATCCCTCCGCGATTCGATCATCAATCATTTAACGTATGTTTTCATTTAATTAAATTGAAGGACAAACAATTTTAGGCACCTTCATGTCGTCGATCAAAGTTCAGAAGCAACAGCCACACAACTTTGCCTGGCGGTTGTCGATTTGTACATTCAGGTAACATTTTTTCGTGTAATTATATACATTTTTGACTTTAGGTACCTGAGTGGATTGGCTTCATTGCAACAATGTTGAACAAATTTAATGGTTTAGAAGGTGATCGAACGAAAATGTTACTAACGCTACTGAAGGTGCGTTCTGTTAATTTAATTGATCATTGTAATTTTGAGGTGTTTCCGGAAGAGGTCGAGCATTCATCAATTGGAGAGAATAGAAGAAAAGCGGTGCGTGAAGAGTTGGCAATAAATGGGGACAGCATTTTGGCCTATCTGGTATTTTGTTTGCATTATGTTATACGTTGTCCATCTTCTAGGCAAGTGTGTTATCATCGGCACTCAGCAAAGAACACCATGACGAGGATATAGTCAAAAAAGTTGGATCATAGATAAATATTGATGAAAATTTGTCTAGGTGGTACAATGCCTATCGACTTTTCTTCAAAACCCAAATGTTCACACCGATCGACTGGCGCAAAGTGATCTTTTTGCAGTTGTCTTCTCAATTTTGGTAAGTTCAAAAAGAATTTCAATTCAAGTTGGAATCATTGTCTTTACGACTTTTTCAGGCTTCACCATTTGTTTCTGTGAACTTACACGATGCCGCTACCGAATGCGTTGTTTCCGGGCTTGTTCGGGTCGAAGACATACACGCACACAGGTGAATTTTGTGTAAATGCGCTTTTGGGCTTAAAATCATTATTCACCTTTCAATTTAGAGCTCTTGCCGTTGTGCTTCATCAAGCTAGTTTCAAGCTCCAAACGGCGTGGAATGAAGCTGTTTCGAAAGAGCAACTTGATAGGTAACTTAAGGAATGATTAACGAGCAATTAGATCTTTTTTTAGATTGTCAAACTTTACACGAATTTTTGTGGAGCTATGTGAAAGTCTGATTGAGCCAGTTGTAAATCAAAACAAAGTTAGTTTAAAGAAGATGCTCAGTATAAGGGGATTTTTTAGGAAGCTGCACCACTTCACGAACTGAACATCTTTGAACTCTTGTTGCTAATTGCGAATCACTTTGATTATTCGGTGAGCACGTGATGGGCGTCCAATTTACAGAAAAAATTCAGTTGATCGAAATGACGTTTAATGTTTGGTATCGAATCTCGGAAGCACTTTTTATGATTGACGACGATGACCACATTGCGCTTTTCAAACCATTTGTGAGGAGGTTAGTTTGTTCTTGTCTACTTTTGTTAACCCATGAACCATTTGATTTCTAAAAATTTAGATATCTGGTGGCACTTGTTCGGCACTCTCGATATGATTCTGATGAAGTTGGACTACCTGATCAGCACTCGGATTTTGGGGATTTTCGATTCAAGGTAGAATGGGTTCTATCAGTTTTTATCGTAAATATTTTTTTTGGGTTCGAGAAACTGTAAAAGATGTCGCATTCATTGTTGGAACAGATGATTGTATCAAAATGGTAATTCTTATTGTAGTGACGGGATTATAAATTTTTTTAAAAGATGTTTGCTTTGATGGCCGAAGCGGCACAAAAGAATGCACCATGGGAAGAAACGGAAGCCGCGTTGTTTATAGCGTCAAATGTAATTCAGAACTTGCTACCGTATGTTTTTTTCAGTCTACTTAGGACTGCTTCATTTTAGTGAGGAAGATTCCATCGTTCCGGAACTTATTTCCCAACTCGTTCAACTCGCACCTCAAACTGCCCATCCAGCTCTTATTTTAACGGCAATACAATTCATGGGCGGTTGTTCGGAGTGGTTGGGCAAACATCCGCCCATTCAAGGTATCAATTTGACTTGTATTTCAAAAGTTGCTTTTTTAGACCCAGTAATGCAATGGCTTCTCATTTATGTCGTCAATCCGATCTATGCTAGTCATGCCTCAGAAAGTATTGAAAAGGTTCAAACTTTGAACGATGCAAATTTTAATCGAAACTTTACCTTGCTTGAGCTAATATTTTTCTTTAGATCTGCTCACAGGCTTCGATCGTCCGTTTTATACCACCACTTTCCGCAGCAATCGAACGCCTCGAGGCAACAACAACTAATGGGAAGTGTGTTGAAAAAGCCTGCCAAGATATCACCAAAGGTTTGCCATTTTTCTTTTTAAAAACCTTCAAAAATTTAAGCATTGGCCATGTTATGCAACTCGTTATCTCGCCAGGAGCTCGGAGAACAACTGAAGAAGATTTGCGAACCAATTTTGATGCGGCTTACAATGGTCAGTTGTTAGACGTTATAAGTGCAAGAAAGATTTTCAGAGTATTGACGCTTCCACTGCCCAAGTAGCACATGATGAAAACAAAGGTGATGCTTGGATGCAGGTTGAATTTTGTTTTTATCCGATCTTATTAATTTTAGATGGCTCACAAGCCGTTGATCTGGATTGATCGTATCGCCTCGGTATTTCGAGAAATCAAACCGTTGGAGGTGTGGTTAAAAGAGTTTGCATTTTACAAGTTTTTTAGAAAGTCAATTACGATTTGAATCAAGCCCAACCGTGGCTACCAGTTGCACAGCACACACTACAGGTTATTTTCAGTTTACAAAAGACAACCTTTATCAACAACTTAGTTCAGATATCTTCACAAATTTTGACCAAATATGAGGCTGATGGGCGAATCATTGAGCACACCTGCAGGTTTAAAATGCTGAATAAGCTTTATTGACTAAATTGATAATCTAGAGCAATTCGACACGTCATTCGCTCACTTGGCATGCAGTCTGCCAGTTTCGTCCCAGCGTTGGCTACCCAGGTTTACTGACGACCTTGAATTATTTATTTGATCCTCTTAGCTGATGACCATTTATCAACATTATCAACATTCGTGCATTTTGTATCTGGCTTCTATTATCGTGGACGAATACGGAGCTTTACCCGAGCTACAAGATGGATTGATACAAATGCTTCAGGTATTGGTGCATACGCTTTATGTTCAAAGGAGAGGTTGAGATGCTGGCCATTTCCACGTTTCCGATTTTGCAAAAGGCGCACGGTTTCCGAAACAATCCCGATACAGTTGATGATTTGTTCCGGCTAGCTCATCGGTAAGTTTTTAGACGGCATATTCTCCTGTTTGCAAGCATATTCCTAATCTAATTTTCAGTTACATCACACGCTGCCCGTCGGTCTTTTTCGTGCACCCAATTTGCGACAAGTTGCTGGATTGTGCCCTGCATGGACTTCACGTTGATCATGGGGAAGCGAATCGTTCTGTGACGAAGTACACAACAGAAATGATCAATCAATTGATTTCAGCGAGAAGGGTAAATTTTATCTCAAATAGCTGTAGTCTGCTACCTTTAGCATAATTATATGGATGATGGAGTGAAAGCCGCTCAACAACTTGTTAACAGCTATGCCGACCGTTTGACTGAACATGCGCTAAAGTGGGTGTTTAGAAAGATTGAATCCCCAATAAAATTTGCTCCCATCTTCAAGGTTGTATTTTAGAGCGGCTCTTTTTGATGTGTCATCATATCTTCGTCGCGAGTTAACTGATGTGATCTGCTCGTTGGGAAAGTACGATCGTGAGGTATATTTGAAAGAGTTATACGTTTTTCAACAACATGCTAATTTAGTTACAAGCACGAGCACTCATACATGCCATTTCAACACTGCCACGCGGACCATTATGCGCCACAGAAGAACAATTGAAGCAATTTCACGACCAAGTCTGCAAGTATGTAGTCGAAAATGTTTAGTGAAAAGAGTCTAAAGAATTAAAAATATCAATTTTCTACTCAGAGATGGAACAGACACCCGAAATGTGGTCGGCTATGTGCGAGAACTTGTCAAGCTCTATGAGTGAGATCCTCTTCGCGTATTTCGTTTGATGTATCTATTTTCGTTATGTCAATAATCGTGAACCGGTACTAGGATATCTAGGGTTTTAGGGTTTTCTATTTTTTCTTTTCTCCCTGCTTAATCCCATTTTTTTTGATTGTTTGTAGTTAGTTATATAGATTCTAATACATTTTTTCTTCCCCAATATGTGATCTCCTTAAGTTATGTTAGGGTTATATGGTAGATTTTCTAATACCGTATATTTTTGTCATTATGTCATTAAGTTTTTCAATTTTTCTACCTTTGTTTGTACTTTTACTTAAGCGATCGGGTCTATGTATGAGGTACCTTTTCTATTCTATTCTTGCTCATCTTGATTCTTACTGTAAGTCGTTCTCCTGTAATCAACATTTCTTGTAATTCATACCCTTTAAGGTTAAAACGGGAATTCATGTTCACTAATCACTTTTTTATTATTGTTATGCATAGGTAAGTTGACTGAGTTGTTTTTTGAAAAACCGGTTCACTATTTGAGAGAATAAATATTGCCTTGAAAGCAAATGACTTAAAAAAAGCACTTTATTAAAAATTTATTGCAAGCTCCTTAGAGAATCCTTTTTAAACGATACAAGATTTCGGTGAATCGAGGTTTCCATTAAAATTTGCCGGATGTTGTCGCTCCTTTTGCAGTAGTCGAAAATACTGTTGTGTTTATCGTCGGTTCAGAAGTCGTAGTCGTACTTATAGTTGCATCACAAGAGTCATCTGGGACGATAAGGTTGGCGAAATTGTTGATGATCACGTACATATGTCAACACTTTCGGCCACCAGATCCGTTTACGATGGCATTAGCTAAAAACAAAAGAATTTCAAATTTAGATGAACAAAAAAATGTTTTTTTTTTGTACAACAAAAGTGTTACCCACCACCAATACAGATAGCTTCTAAGGGATTTTTCACTGGACATTGCCCATCAGGGTACACGACTTCTCCCGGATTGCATTGGATAATCTATACTAGAGAATCATGAAAGATTTCAAATGTTTAACTGGAGAAGGGGTATACCTAACGCAGTTAATATAATATTTCGAGCAAAAAACAAGAATAAAATGCTCACCTTTTTGTCGTACATGATACTCCAGCTTTTTTCAACACGACACCAAGCGGTGTCGGTTCTCTTGGTGTTGTGACGGGTGAACGACCTGTTTTGAATGCTCGGTGAAGAATTCCAGTCGTTTTCTCTTTCTTGCAAAGCTTTTTCACCGTTTCGGGGCTGCATTTGAATACGCTCGCAACATCCTTTACTTTGTCGCCTCGTTTCCTTGCTTCCATAATCTTTTCTTTGTCGGGAGTGGTCAGATAGGCTCCAGGCATCACTAGAATTAAAAAATAATAAAGCATTGTTATGTGAAAAATAACGAAACAACAGCAAGAAAATAAAAAGTTGAAAAGGGGTAAAGACTTTTGTCCACCTGTTTTGAGGGTTTTTTTTGTTAACGTCGTTCTTTGTTGCCTAAAATAAATCGTTGTTTCTTTTGGTTATGGGATATAAAAACTAGAGTAAAAATGCTACAAAATACTTTGAAAACAATTTTTAAAACTTGTTAAAAAGTTGAAAAATTTTGCGCTTTAAAAGCTGACCTCGGTAGGGGTAAAGACTTTTGTCCATGACTGTAATTGGTTTTTCTAATGAAATCAACCGTAGTTTAATTGGTGCATTTGTTGGCTTGAAACGGCAGACGAAAAGGAACAAAACAAAAACAAACAAACAAACAAAACAAAACAAACAAAGACTTATGCATCAACCTATTAGGTCTTTTGCGCAACTCGCTATAACTTTCTTCTCTGCCAACCTTTATGATTTTAGTTTCATTTTGTAGATCTGAATAAGTGCAACAAAATGAAACCAAAATCATAAAGATTGGTCCATTGGTTAGAAAAAAGTTATGGTGAGTTGCGCAAATGACCCAGTTGCGCAAAAAATTTGGCGCAAAGTAGCCACCCCCAAAAAAATACCGTAAAAGCTCTAATAGAAGAGTCTAGAGGAGCGTCGCGTAGTCTAAATTTACACTCAAAAAACCGCTCATATCTCGGCGCCCAGACATTTTTTTCTGCGCGCTTGGGCATCAAATTAAGGTAGAGAGGATGGGTGATTTTTTTAAATATAACACTTTAAAATATAATATTTTTAGCATTAACCAGCGCTTAGAACAAAATGATTGAAAAATGATGAAAAATCGGCTTTTTTGCCTACATTTTGCATACTTTGGGATCACTTAAAACAGAATTGGTGTCAAGAAAAGCTTAGTTAACCTCTTTTTGAGGGGGGTGGGACAAAAGCTATCTTTTATTTGCGCACCCGACCCAAAAGCGCACCCCCAAAAGCGCACCCCCAAAAGCGCACTCGACCCAAAAGCGCACCCGTCCAAAAGCGCACCTTTTCAAAAGCGCACCCGTCCCAAAAGCGCACCTTTTCACTGTTGTTTTTTTGGCTTTTTGCAAATCAATACAAAACCAATAATTCCAAATTTATTTTCCCATGATTATTAGACTAATGTCTTTTGTTTCCGGTGCCAAAAATGAACTTCTAATTGTACTTTTGCTTCTTTATACCTTCAATAACAACCCAACCGTTTAACAGTAAAACATTTAGCAGTAAAATAACGACATAAAACAGACAAAAGTAACAATAACACAACTTAAAAACATGGCAACATTATCGAGAAACAATATGAGGCAAGAGTTGAGATAAATGTTGAACATGAGACACATTATTCCTACCATTAAGTACAGCATGAAATCTAAGAGTCTGACGATGAACAACACGATTACTTTGAGGATCCAACTGACCAAACGAGAGATTTCGTCCATTGGCAAGTTTTAGCCTGTTGATAGCATTTGACATTTCTTTAAAAAGCCGACAAAATTGATTCGCGAAAAGCAAAAAAACAACAGTGAAATGGTGCGCTTTTGGGTCGGGTGCGCAAATAAAAGATAGCTTTTGTCCCACCCCCCTTTTTGAGCGCTTTTTCGTTTTTTTTTTTTTTTGACATTTTCTCATCTGTCAAATGTCCTCATTGTTCTAAACGGCTCCAAAGAATTCAGCTAATTTTTTCTACATCCAAAGAAACACAAATAAACTTAACCGCAAGTGCATTATTTTGGCCCGCGTTATTTTGACCAGTTTCCTTCAATGGATCTTTTAGTCTTTTTTGATTTACAATTAGTCATCAAGTTTTTGGTTTTACTTGCTTTTCATTTAGTACAAACTCTCCTACATCTCAATTCTTTAGATGAGCGGCAATCCAACGCTGAAATGTCTTAACACAATCGTCGCCACATGTCTCTGCTCGTCGTTTCATCTAGGATTTCTATTTATGGTTAGTTCAGCTCGTTTGTTTTCTTTTAAATATCAACTTTAGACCTGGTCATCTGCATCTCTATGGGTCGGACTAAAAGAACAGCTCTACCATATGTTGTCACCAGACTTTGATACGAGCACAGAGGAAATTGCTCGCGGTCTTTTAAGCAGGTTTAAACGTATAGCTTTTTAAGAATCATACTGTTTTTAGTTTACTGATCTTTGGATTCGCCCTCGGCTGTTTTCTGTATTCAATCCGGAGTCTTAAATGCAGCAAGTTGTGGGGTCTCCGCATTTCATCACTGATTTCGGCTATTTGGTTTGTTTTACTTTTATTTCAAATTACTTTTTCTATTTAGCATCTTCTTTGGTTCTTTTGAAGAGACGTATTCGCTGGCGCTTCCTCTATCAAGATATTTCACTGGGACAGCTTTAGCTTTCTCGATTGGTTATGGCACCGAATTTATAACAGTTTGTCTAGGAATATTTTGTTAAAAAAGATTTTTAGGAGATCTTACCCACTCATTTCCAATGGGTTGCTGTTCCTCTTCAAGTAAGACAATGTTTTGCAATAATGTAATAGAATTAAAGGTCTCTTTTGCAATAGTTGGATGTTTTATGTCATCAGTCTTGACATTTTTCAATTTGCTGAACTCTTTGGATCAATTAGTGATGACTCTGCGAATACAAGGCACCATTCTCTTCTTGGCGTATTAATTTTCAAAAATTTCCGCAAATTTTTCTTTTTAGACTACTGTTTTTGCTTTGGGCTGAAGAGAGCCCGGTTCATTTGTGCAAAAAAGGCGAACTCAAGAGATGTGCGTCAAGTATATCGGTTTATAAGTAAGGAAAAACGTAAAGACAAAAAATTTTTGCTTTAGCGACACGCCGCTGGCATACTCAGTGTTTCAAAATATTCAGGATGATACAATTGAAAAGGTTTTTAATACTCTGAGAGTCCGTAATTACAGTTTTTTAGAAATTTAATCGCAGCGCCCTCAGAAAGCACTTGTTTCCCGTGTTTTGCTTGCTCTCGGTGGCATTTTCTGGGGGCCCGATTCTACTACTTTATCCAAACGTCTATTTGCATTCCATTCGAGATTACCAGGTGGGTTTCTGTTCACTTTGATATGCAATGATATTAATTTTAGGATGTATCTTCCGTGCTTCTTCAAAGCGCGAATCTTATGTGCATGACTCGAGTGGCAGCGGCTCTCATTGTAGCCTTTATGGCCCTATTCGCTAGAAGAGAGATAGCTTACAGGTTTTTAGATTTTGAAATCGCATTTTTTTTGTTGCTTTTAGTAAACCACGAGTTGCCGTTTGCTATCTTGTCTCGTTGGTCGCATTGTCAGTTTTGGTGTTTCTACCGATGGTTGGTGTGCTATCAAGGTGTAAACGAATTTTTTAGACCACAGGCGCCATTTTGCGAATGATACTTGTTATTCTGCAAGTGATCACTCTGGGGGAAAATTCGGCAACATTGACAATTGAGCTTTTGTAAGTTCCGTTCAAAATTTATTTTGCAAGTTAAATTTTAGTTGTGCCCTGGCTTATTTGACACGTGAAAGCAGACGCTCAACTGCTGCATCAATCGGTTTTGGATGTGTTGTTTGTTAACTTTTTGTGTTATATATCCATCAAATTTCAGATATTCGCGGCATATATCGCTTCTTTTCCATTCGTTATGGACCCATCGGATAACAAAATCTTGTCAGCATATTTACTAGGTAATCCTACAATTTCTAGTCAGAAAATAAAAAATTTAGTTCCAACTGCTGTATGTTGGCCGGTAATGATGTTTTTGTTACCAAGAGCTACTCCGCGAGCTCCAAAACCAAAGGAAGACGAGAAAAATCTCACATTGACAGGTGTTTTAAATGTTCATATTATTTTTAAGCTTATTTTACAGATCGAATGAAGCGCAATGCTATCGGCACCGTTCACGCATTTGCTGGCCTTTAATACTTCAAATCTCATCAGTTCTTTGCATGTTTTCATCTTTATTTTATTGTATTTTGCACATTTTAGCTTTTAAATGTACTATGTGACTTTGTGGCGTTAATGCTTGTGTAAAATGATGTACTTAATTGATAAATGACTTAAAAAAACACAAATTTTCTTTTGGTACAGAAAAACACTAACTAGAAAGGACATAAACATGGCAACGAATCTCTGAAGTGAATTGAGCGGCGGAAACACTTGCGAGAACGAGACACAAGAGTGAGGGGTCCTTTACAAAAAGAAAAACCACCCGTTTCCTTGTTGCCTTTTTTTAAGTGTTCAAATCGTAAGTACCACGTGTACGTAGAGTATTTAGGACCTCAATTCTCACTTTTATCGAGCATTTGCGTACATTATTCTGACATGACGAGACAGTTCTGTTTAGCCTTGTGTTTTGTTGCTCTTTTCATCGTTTCGGTATGTTTTCAAAAGGGTTTTTTTGATTACGAGTTGGAAATTTAAGCCATCTAGCGCCTGTGGTGGTGGCTCCTTTGGTGGCTGGGGAATGGGAATGGGATTCGGCGGTGGTGGGTGTGGAGGAGGGTCGGTTTTATAGAAATCTCATCATTCTTGTCAGATTTCTTGACTTACTATTGTTCGGCTTTTCTTTTCTGATGCATACCTCATACCAAGATATGAAATATTCAGATATGAACTTTTTGGAGGCTTCGGTGGTATGGGAGGTGGTTTCGGAGGTGGATTTGGGGGATTCGGTGGTGGTTACGGTGGATATGGACTTGGCTATGGCGGAGGAGTTTTCCCCGGATACGGTAAGTGGGAAAGCAAGCATTTGCTAATCTTATAGAAAATAATTAAATCCAATATTCCAGGTCTCGGCATGGGTTGTGTTGGCTTTGGTGGTTGTTATGGAAAAAAGAAATAATAAATGTTTCACAAGCAATTTTTTTTACCCCTAAAACAAAGCACAAGATAAATTTGAAACACCAATTTTGATTTTGAAATAAAACAATAGAACTGTTAACGATGGTTTTAAAAACAACAATTTGATTCGTCCTTTCAAGCAAATTATTTACTTCATTTATTCTTCTTTAACTGTGTATTTGATTTCGTGAAAGTTTGATTCTCCCTGAAGAAACAAGTCAAACAAAGCTTTTTTTTCAAAGTTTAAACCTGCTAGGCATAGCCGTGCGCCGCTTTTCACCCAGAAATCCATCGGACGCCAAAACGCGATAGAAGAGGAAAGCGTTTATCGTCAAAAAGACAATACCACCTGAAATCACCTTATCACGATCAACATTATCGAATTTCTTACCATAAAAACCGACACAATAGTAAAAGTGCATCATTCGTTCGCCATTTCCGAGAATCCACCACATTTGCCACGTTTGAACACAGAAACGAAAGACGATGAACCTAAAAAATATAGCTAGATATTCAATGTTAGCTAGATAAAAATATAGCTAGATATTCAACTTCACAGAATAAAAAAACCACTTACACAATAACATTGCTCCATAAAAATCCTCGAAAGAACTTCGAATTGCGGTCACCGACTCCCGAGATTTGCAAGAGTGAACGAGCGTGCAAGAAAGCGCTAAAATTTCATGTTAAATTGCTTAATGAAAAAAAAATTAAGCCTTTCAATGAAAACTTTAATTATTTAGTTTTCTAGACTACGCCAAAACAATGTATCAATTCAAAACAAAACAAAAACAAGGGTTTCAATTAAAAATCTCAAGAAACCCACCTACTCACTTCCATCAACAGCACCCAAAAGGCGTAAGGCTGAAATCGCTGGGAGGTGAGTTGGACGAGAAAAATGATGATGGTCAACGTGTGATGGAAGAGAAGCTCAATCATCCATTTTGACCATTCATTTGAAAGCATATCCAACGTGTCGTGTATGAAATAACCTAAAAGCATTATTATACATCAAATTGAGAGATCTAGAGAGAGTTTATAGCTAGGACTCGCTCAAGGTTTTTAAGCCAGTTTCTTTAGAAGATCACCCAAATCCGTACCAATACTGCACAAAAAGACGTGCGCGCACGAGTCATCCCACCAGTGTATCGTCTCTTCAAATAGAACCTGGAAAATCAAATGAAAAACCTAACTATTCCAAAAAAAAACCCTTGTCCTGGCAAAGAAGAAAATGAGTGCGGCACTGCCCGTGAAGAATGAGTGTAAAAAGCATATCGTCAAATTGCATAAACGGTATTTTCTAAAAGAAAACGAAATCAATAAATAAGGAATTGCAAACCGAAAACCGCTATAGTCTTTCCACAGATATTTGCGCACTAGACAGGCCAACGCTCGCCAAAGCAGGAAATAGTAGATCGTCGGTTGAAGTAACTAAAGTAAAAAAAGAATAGAACCAACGTATTAGATTGTTCATCTTTAATCCATTAAATTCTACAATTGCTAACTTTGTATCAAAGCGTAGCCATAAAGCTCACCTTCGTCTCGAAAAATTTCCCAAACGGTGGATAATCATATTCGGCTCCAAGTGGTGCCATTTCGTCAGCTTCGACTTCTCGCATTTCTGAAAAGAATTGATTTAATAGATCTACCGTAAATACTGTAATAGTCCCCCACCCCCCTCGTACAGTCGCGTAGTCGCAAAAGTTTTTTAGTATTTCATTTTTTTCAAAGCGCCCGTACTTTCAAAAAATGCGTCTTTGGTATCAAAAAATAGCTGAAATTCAGGGCTATTTTTTGATACCAAAGATAATGACGGCGCGGAGTATTGCGTAGTCTAGCTTTGAACGCATTTTTCTCGACACTGGTTTTTGCTAGAATGCGCGCTTAGGTATCAAAAAATAGCCCTGAATTTCAGCTATTTTTTGATAACTAAGCGCGCATTCTAGCATAAACCAGTGTCGAGAAAAACTCGTTCAAAGCTAGACTACGCAATACTCCGCACCGTCATTATGGGGGTGGGGTACTATTACAGTATTTAAGATAGGTAAAAAAAATTTGACTCCAACAATCCCACCTCGCCGTTGCAAGGCAGGCGCGTCAATGAAATGCAAAAATGAAAAAAAACAACAAGATATTCAATTTACATTTAAAGCTTAAATAAAAGGCAGTCAAACTTTTCGATTCGTCTCCTCAGTTCAACGATGACACAACGATCTCTCTACATGACGCTCAGCAATCCCGGAACTGCAAAATCAGCATATTTTGGATTGCTGACAATCGATCAAGGAATTTTTACGTTTTTTTTGCTTTTTGTGTTTCAACTAGATCGGCTAAACACGATTTTGGTTTTCAAATAGAGGTGACTACTGGAGTCTGCATTAGCATCACTTTAGCCTTGCTTTGATCACACAGTAAGCCCCAAAATGGTCACTTCGGCAGGAGCGTTTCTTGAAGATTTTCATTTGAACCGTCGACAAAAACTATGTAAATCGTAATTAAATGTAAATTTGACGCTTATGCAATATCTCTTTGTTTACAGAATGAACGTTTCGCACCATTTCACACCGTTTTTGTTACCGTTTACTATTTGCTAATTACCATAATACCTGTAATATGTATTATCTATTCCATTACGTAAATTTGATTTGATTCCATCCTATCAAATACCAATAAAATATAATATCACGGTAGGTTATTAGATTATTAGATTTTTAACACTTATCTCTAAATTTTCTAGATTAATCGTCAACAATTCTTATCTAAAAACCGGTTAGGATGTTTTTCGTGTGTTTTTCGTTGAGAACAATGTGTCCGACTGATGGACACACACAACTAGAGACAAGTGTGCAGAAAAAGGAAAAGGTGATGGAATGGGGTGAAAGTTTGCGCGTCGGATTCACACCCACTAGGCCCATGCTGTGAATGGACGAACAAAGAGGGGGAAAATACAGCCAATGTAGCCATTTCTCTTTTGCCTTTGTTTTCCCCTTGAAGAAGCACGTGTAGAGAATATTTTCCTTTGTTTTATGAGACGTGAATCTTTCACTATGATTCACTGGAGAATGACGCAAGAACTTGAGTTTTTTGATGCGCAAAGTTTGAAGGAAATTTTCGAATTTCTTTGGAACTAGATTTGGTGAGAAATTTGAGAACTGGCAAGAAGCAATTCTTGGTTGGGATTCTTGGTTGGAATGATTGGTTGGAATGATTGGTTGGAATGATTGGTTGGAATGATTGGTTGGAATGATTGGTTGCAATTCTTGATTGGAATTCTTGGTTGGAATTCTTGGTTGGGATTCTTGGTTGCAATTCTTGGTTTGAATTCTTGGTTGCAATTCTTGGTTGCAATTCTTGGTTGACAAGCGAGTGAGCATGGAGGAGACGGGTCGATTTGGTGGATGTGAGGGTGAGAATTGTGGATAGAGGAGATTAGAAGAGATCGTAGGCTGCCTAAAAGGTTTTCAAAAGGTTTTCAAAAGGTTTTCAAATAGAGGTGACTACTGGAGTCTGCATTAGCATCACTTTAGCCGTGCTTTGATCACACAATAAGCCCCAAAATGGTCACTTCGGCAGGACCGGGTAGACGCTAAGAAGGCACTCAAAAAGACAAAAAAAAAGTGTTTCAAGAAGCAAGTTGTGAAAAGAAGAAATTGGGGAAAGGCGGTGCGGAAGCGGCTTTCCTTCCTTTTTTCGTCTTTTCCACACCAACGGTGGAATTGGGTGACCATCAGGGAAAGCATGAAATGGAAGGGGGAAAAAAAGAAGAAGTGATTGTAGGGAAGAGCGCTTTGCGACTTCTCCCATCTGAATACCCTTCTTTTTCTAAAGACCATCTTCACCGCAAATTTCCCCTTCTTGTCACACTCTTTTTCCCCCTCGAAAACATGCGACCACCGAATCTCTTCCTTAATCTCGTTTTTATTGTCTTTTTATCCGATCTCACTGGTGGATTACCGAATCGGGGACTTGAGGTGAAAAGTTTAACTTTATGGTTTATTTTAGTCTAGATTGATAGGCTTGAGTCCTTTAGTTCTTTAGTTCTTTAGTTCTTTAATCCTTTAGTCCTTTAGTTCTTTAGTTCTTTAGTCCTTTAGTCCTTTAGTTCTTTAGTCCTTTAGTCCTTTAATCATTTAGTCCTTTAGTTCTTTAGTCTTTTAGTCCTTTAGTCCTTTAGTTCTTTAGTCATTTAGTTCTTTAGTTCTTTAGTTCTTTAGTCCTTTAGTCCTTTAATCCTTTAATCCTTTAGTTCTTTAATCCTTTAGTCCTTTACAGTACTCTTTTGAATTTACAAAAAGCTTATTTCAGTTTTATAGACAACGTAACGAGACTCTGAGTGTAGCCAGAATTGAAAAAAAATCTCCAGATAAAGTCAAATCTCCAGATAAAGTCAAATTTCCAGATAAAGACAGGTCAAAGCTAAGATTTTGTGCCAAATCCAACGGTAAGATTGAAATTGATTGGTCATTTGAAAACCAATTGAAAGCCATTGGTTTTGGCTTGGTTTTGGCTTGGCTTTAACTCTTGCAAATCCTAGTGGTACTTTATGAATAACGTTATAGCATTACGGTACTTCTGGAGCCATATTTGGTATCGGAAGTTACAACGAACTCAAGCTACACACAAAAACTCGACATAGAAGCTTTCCGAAAGCTCTTTAGTTTTAAGATTTTCAGTCAGAAAAAGCTTTCTACTATTTTGAAAATTGCGTCGAACAAGTTGAAGCGCTGAACACGAAGCAAAAGCTGAGCACGAATTCTTTTAACTCTAGTTTCCATTACGAAACATTTTCTATCAGTTGGCTCTACGCCGAGCTCGTCGCTCATGTCCATGTGCTGCACTGTCTCGATCGAGATGCGTTTGTCGGCCATCCGATCCAACAAATCCAGTCTCCCCTGCGCAGACATGCACTTGTACAGCACCCACTCTCACCAATGAACAAGAGTGCCCATGTGCTGCTCAGGTAACTCTCAAATAGTTTCTCTCTCAAATATTGAGCAACCAAAAGTTGAGCATAAGGTTAATTTAAAGTCTAGGAGACTGTAAGTTGAATGTTTTCAGCCCAGCTTACTGTAGTGAGGTTACTGTAGATTTAATGAAGAACTTGTCTGCTTACAAGCTAAAAACTCTCTTTTCCAGGCCCGTCAATCAATCTGTGAACCGTCATGCGAGTCAACCTGTGTAAGCAGTTGTACCACAGCCGAGAACCCGAAGCCCGCTTGTGAGCACACTTGCAAGTTCACGTGCTCGTCCACTTGTCAAGTAATTTTCAGTTTCATCATTTACAATAAAATTGCCAATAAGTCTAAGCAATCAATGAACTTTTCAGTCAGTTTATTCGGAGCCCGTTCAAGTGGTGATCAATCAACAAAACGATCCGCGAAAGTGCAGTCCAGTGTGCGCCGATGCGTGCACCGCCTCGTGCACCTCACAAGTTGGCTTGGGCTTTTGAAAATTCATCAATTCATCAATTCATAACCCTAATTTTTCTTTAAAGAACATAAGATTTCCCCTAGAAATCCCCGTCAGCCGACTGTCGTCAGAGTTGTATCGGTTCCTGCGAGCCGACGTGTCTCCGCCGGCTCCGCACTTGCACGAATCCCGCATCGCCGACTTGTGGACAACAGAGTCAGATTGAAGTAAGCAATACACAAAATTCCATATTTCTTCTTGTCCAGGTTACATTCGAGCAACGATCCTTTGCCATGGCTCTCCCAGTCGCTCCGCCATCCGTTTTCCCCACTTTAGCCCCACCACCGAGCTGTTCCCCGGAATGTCAGGTACATAAACATCTAATAAACAGTTGTAGAGATTTGTTCTGACCTCCAGCATCCGATCATTAAAAGTTTTGTAATCTAAACAGTTCTAAACAGTTCTCACTCTAGCCTGGCTGTGAGCCATCATGCGTGGCCACTCTTCAAATCGCCATCCGTCCCTCGATCACCAATTGTGTCCCAGCTTGCCAACCGACTTGTCTACCCGATTGTGTACAAACGTACAATGAGGTTGATTCAAATGATCTTTAGCTTCACAAGAGCTTCACATGAGCGACAGCTTTTGGAATCTCTTAGTCCAGCCTATCTGATTGACATATCTTCCAATGTCGCATCAAATTCAGGTGACCAGAGACTACACAACAAAAGCGCCACAAATGCATTGCCCAGTGCAAGCGTGTCAACCGAATTGTCACGCCTCGTGTCTACAAACGTTCAATTTCCTTCTCTCAATTCAACCATCAACCACCACTCCGACTCCAACACTCTACTGCACATCGGTAGATGCTTTTATGCGTTTCCAAACATTTATTTCTTTCAGATCTGTCAACCAACTTGTCAGCCTCAATGTATCGCAAATTCCTTTGGTCTTGCCCTTCCCGCACCCCCAAATCCACCACAAAACCAAGAATGTCCACCTCAATGTCAGCCAGCTTGTAGCCCGTCTTGTGCAACTCAAAATCAGGTCAAAAAATTAAGCCAATCTTTCACAAACAGAGCGCTCAGCTAGCTCTAAAACCAGACAGAAATCAAAATTAACTTTGAGAAAGGATACTTATTTACTTCAACAGAATAGCTTAAACCTAGTCCAGTGCTAGATCTGGACTTTTGACCTAGTCCAGTGCCTGATCTCTAACTGCTTACAATTAAATAATTAAGTCCAAGGCTTGCATTTGGACCATATCAACAACCCTTTCCAGATCATCGAAGAAGAGATCGATGTGCTCTCGTTTAATTTGACTCTTCCATCACAGACGCAAGTACCTCGCGTTTCCTCATCTCCATGCACTCCCGCGTGTCAACCACTTTGTTTACCCAGTTGTGTCAATGTTTTAGGAGGATTTGGAAGACAGGTTTGATTTTGATTAGGCTTTCTATAGTAACTCTAGATTCCGATGATTGCAACAACTACCCCATCACCTCCAGCACTTCAATGTGCTCCTCAATGTCAGCCATCGTGCGATACACGATGTCTGTTAGCTCTTCAAATTGAGACCCAACTCCAGCTGCAGACAACACAGCCGACAAGCTATTGGACAGGTAAAATCCCGATCTTAGTCAGTACAGTAAGACAAGACTACAGTAATCCAGCTGAAATGAGTGGGTAGTTTTTTAAATGTCTAATAAAAGCTAAAGTATTTAGGCTATTGAATAACTTAGCTAAATCTGAGACAGAATACTTTAGCCTTACCGTATTTTTTTAAGAAAACAGCTTAACTTTTGAAATATAAACAATTCTTGGGCTTTAAAAGAACTACAGTACCTTTTTAAAAGTACTGTAGTTCTTTTAAAGCTATTGAATAACTACAGTACCTTTTTAAAGGTACTGTAGTCCTCTATCTCGTCACAACTTTTAGATTTAACTAAATTTCACCTAAATAAACCCAACGTTCAAATTTCAGCTCCCACTTGTGCTCCAGCATGTCAACCGGATTGTTCGGAGAGTTGTTTGAGCGAGTTGGTGGTGGATTTAGAGATACCGATCGTTAAATCGTGTCTCCCACAATGTCAGCCATCATGCAAGCCACAATGTATCAAGCAGGTACAATAAAAATTAGAATAAGAACGAAAATATTGGGTTGTCCAGTTATGAATGCGCGTTTTTACTATTTTGTAAATTTCTCAAGATCTCGAACAGATGTATATGAGTGTTATATATCATTCGAAAGCTGAAGATCTCCTCTACATTTTGATATAAAAACCTTTGGAATTTGTTCAGCTTTTGGGCAAATTGACTTCACAAAGGGAGAGGTCGTTTTCGAAAAAACCCATTTCAGTTTAGCTATTCCTCAAGTTTTATGGTGTAAAATAACCGCCCAGAAAAGAAAAGAAAAGTAAAGATGATCTGAAATTGTTATATTTAAAAAAAGTTGTATTGATATATCTATTGACCAAACATCAAACGGTTAACTCACTTTGAGCGGAGCCAAAACTTGATCCAAAGGCACCCTTCCATTTTTTGGCCACCTCTTCTTCTGTGCAGTCAATTTGCCCAAAAGCTGAACAAATTCAAAAACTTTTTATATCAAAATGTAGAGGAGATCTTCAGCTTTCGAATGATACTCATATATATCTTTTTCTTGATTTCGGTATCTTGGGAAATTTAAAAAATAGTAAAAAACGCGCATTCATAACTGGACAACCCAATAGTAAACTTTACAGTACACAATGACCACCCTCCGGCCATCAACCCCATCATGCACTCCAGTGTGTCAACCAGCCTGTGATCCGATTTGTATCACCCAATTTCAAATCGCCATTCAAAAAGTCGCCACGACGAAAGCGACAACGATGAGGTAGCTGAATGTTTATTTCTTTGTACTTTGTACTTTGTACTTTTTATGCTAAAACTTTAGAACTTGCATCCAAACATGTCAACCCCTTTGTGACAATGCCTGCATCGCGAGTTATCAAGTTCAAATGACCCAACCAGCAGCCACTGTCACTTCAAATGTAAGAACTGCTTATTGGGCTTGTACTTTGTGTTGGTGCACTCATTTTATGCTGTTGCGAGGAAAATAGAGAATCGAGTGTACTGGAAAAGTGATGGTTTCCATTTGGGGCATATGTACACCCCTGAACAAGTCAGGCATCGTACCAGAGCTTTGATAATGATAATACTTGATAAAGTAATGACTTGTAAATACCAGATAATGCAGACATTCCAACTGGGCTTTAGAGTTTTCAAGCCAAGTCAATGCAGGCAAGGATTAGGCCAGGCCAGGTCAAGGACTAGGTTCAAGTATAGTACCCCAAGATCTAGATCCAGGTTCCACTGGTTCAGGCCAGGTGTAGATCCAGGTCCAGGTCTAGGTCTAGAGCTGGTCCAGGTCTAGGTTTAGAACCAGGTCAGTGCCAGATCTGAACCTGGCCAAGCCTTGCCTGGGCCTAGATTTTGATCACTTCTGCCTCGCCTGCTCTCTTACAACGTATGTACAATCCTCCTAGAATTGCCTCCCCGCTTGTCAACCGATTTGCGACCAACAGTGCATCAGTCAATATCAGGTAACTGAAATACTGATCGAATTCTTAAAGCCAATAGACCCAACCAATGTCCACCACACAACCACCATCAATCGTCCCTCAAAAGGATTGCATCCCGGCTTGTCAACCCACGTGTACTCCTGTTTGTGTCAAGCAATTTGCACCCAGCACTCCTATGCCTGTGTCCCGCAATGCCTGTGTCCCGCAATGTCAACCCGCTTGTCAACAAACGTGTATACAGCAAGTTGGTACAAGCTTCTTAATAGAATGTTTTTTCGTGAGCTATAGTATTTTTAGGCTTGATCCTTTTTTGCACGTTTGTAAAGGCTTACCTTGTAGAAAGATTTAATAAAAGCTAGAGATAAACTAGAGACAACATTACGACATTTTTCAAAAGTGGACATGTTTTAGAAAACGTAGTAGTGAGAGGATTACTTCCTACAGTAATCTGGTTGCACAGATGATAGAATAGAGCTCGAATTACTGTAGGATACGCCTTTCTTTGAAAATCCTTACGAACTCGTTTTCAGGCAGCCAACGATCCCCTCCAAACAGCCACAATTCCCACCTTCACATTCACGAAATCGACTCCAAACTCGTCTCCGCCATGTCCACTCGCTTGTCAACCAACTTGCAATCCAGCGTGTGTCAATGGGATTTTCACTATTGCCGTTGAACAGGTACATTAAAATATTATCTAGATATAACTAGCATTATTGATTAGCATTATCTATTTCATATTCAAATTCTAGACCAACACCTCTCCGGAGGTCCGTTGTGAGCCAATTTGTCAGCCAGCTTGCGAGCCAACCTGTATTCAAAAAAATCAAAATGCTGATGCTCAAGTAAGAATCTTAAAAGTAGATATTTTTATAGATTAGTTTATAGATTAGTTTATAGATTAGTTTATAGATTAGTTTATAGATTATTTTATAGATTAGTTTATAGATTAGTTTATAGATTAGTTTATAGATTATTCTATAGATTATTCTATAGATTATTCTATAGATTATTTTATAGATTATTTTATAGATTAGTTTATAGATTAGTTTATAGATTATATAAATACTTTCTTCAGAAAGAAATAAAGTGCGAAAACGACATGAAAAATGTACTAGATAAAAGATGACAAAGTCACTTAAAATGCAACGAAATAGCCCCTTTAAAATCAGACACGGTGGAGATCAAACGCAACTTGTCGGGAAGGGCATTCCAAACTTTAGTCACACGATTTACGAAAAAAGCTCTAGAGGATTTAGAGAAAGCAGATTCGGGATGCAAAATAAAAGAGCCACGCCTAGTCGCCAAAAGCCTCGAGTTTAGTCGAAAAAGATTTTTAAAAAGAGGGTTTTGATGTTTTTTTATAGATTAGTTTATAGATTATTTTATAGATTATTTTACAGATATTCTTACAGATATTCTTACAGATTAGTTTATAGATTAGTTTATAGATTAGTTTATAGATTAGTTTATAGATTATTTTACAGATATTCTTACAGATATTCTTACAGATTATTTTACAGATTATTTTACAGATTATTTTACAGATTACATTACTCTTTTTAGATCATAGTCGAAGGTCCAAGCACTTGTGTTGAGGCATGTATGCCGATGTGCGATCCGATGTGCATTGGAGTTCAAGTATCGGTTGGTTAATAAAAAGATTGCAATCAAAGAATAAGATAAAATAAGAATAAGATCAAAATTCCATAATAAGATCGAAATTTTAAATAATTATTGATCTACGGTATCCCTTTTAGGCTTTACTCCCGATCGAGAACCGATGCGCTCCAATTTGCCAGCCGGCTTGCACTCCCGATTGTGTCCAACAGAATCCCTACAATACGGTAAGACACTGGGAGTCATTTTTAAAAGTGAAAACTTTCTAAATTTTTGTATGAATCAATTTTCTTATTAGTACAGTAATTGTAAAGATCGAAAATTTGATTTCGAGTCGAATGAAAGCACAATTTTTTTAATTCAACGTTTTTCAAAGAAACCCGGCTAAAGATACGAACAAAATACATAAATTGCCAAAAAACGAACCAAAAAAGAGGCGGAGTTAGAGGCAAAAACCAAAAAAGAGGCATAGCTGAAAGTTAGGCTATGATCAGGCCAAGTGTCAGAGTCAGAGCAAAGCTAGTATCAGAGCCAAGCTAGTATCAGAGCCAAGCTAGTATCAGAGCCAAGCTAGTATTAGAGCCAAGCTAGTGTCAGAGCCAAGCTAGTGTCAGAGCCAAGCTAGTATCAGAACCAAGCTAGGACAGGCTCAGTACTTGACCTGACTGATTGACTGTAGTGAAAGAAGAGTCCGACGAGGAAGAAAGATCTTTATGCATCAATACAGCTGCTTTACTACACGTCAAATTATTCATTTTGAAATTTTCAAACACTTTCTCATTCTAGGTCTCAATTCCCACCTCGTTAGCCCAATCGGGTGGGAATTGCGCGAAAAATTGTCAACCCTCTTGCCTCACCAATTGCACGCAAGATTATCAATTTGAGATCAACGTGCCACAGGTATTTCAATATCTAAAGCCATAGTAATACTAAGGTTTATAAAATATAATATTTAACCCATAAAAAAATGTTAAAATTTCCGCCCGACGAGCGCTGCCTTTTGCCGTGCGAGCAGGGATGCACGACGAATTGCGTCCAGCGGGGAGTCGCCTCGCAAAATGATTGTTTGAGGTGAATTGAAGTTTAGAGCTTCTTTGTTTGTTTGTTTCTTTCTTTCTTCTTTCCTTCTTTCTTCTTTCCATCTTTCCTTCTTTCTTCTTTCTTTCTTTCTTTCTTTCTTCTTTCTTTCCTTCTTTCTTTCCTTCTTTCTTTCCTTCTTTCTTTCCTTCTTTCTTTCCTTCTTTCTTTCCTTCTTTCCTTCTTTCTTCTTTCCTTCTTTCTCTTGGGAAGTTAAGGTACCGAATAGCAGAGCAATTTCCCGGAAAGCAAAAGGTTGATGGTTCAATCGCCTCTCAGGAAATCTTTCTTTACCATTCCTTACTTTACTTTATTACTACCATGGAACTATATGAAATACTACAAATTTGCAAAATAAAAAGCACAACATAGCCATCTTAAAATTGGATTGTTTTTTTTTAAAAAATCCTACGACCTGAGACAAAAAATTCAACAAAAAACACTTGCACTTGCAATCAGATTCTTTTAATGATATTTTATGAAATGCATATCATTATATTTTTTCCATTATTCACCCTTTTTAGAGGATGTTCAAACTTTTGCGGCACTCAATGCACCCAAGGAACCGCCTGTCCACAATGTGAAAGCGGGAATCTAAAAGTAAACTCGAAAAAAAATAGAAAAACACAAAATAGCTAAATATCTTATTATCTAAATCTATTTATATGTCGTAGCCGATGAAGGATTTCAGCCGAAGAAGTCTGAGACTTAATCGGCTAGCCGAAGAAGGTTTCGCTAGCGAAAAAATTTGAGACTTAATCGGCTAGCCGAAGAAGTCTCAGACTTCTTCGGCTGAAATCCTTCATCGGCTACGACATATATATTGATAATCTGTATCTATTTACCTTGAATCAAGATCGATCGATTTTTCAGATCGAGATCGTGCTGGAAGAGCCAATCTCTGAAACGGCTCAATGTGTGAGTGAATGCTCGGGCGATTGCGAGCGACAGTGTCGAAGTCAGCGCGGAACACCGATGCAATGTGCTCCGATTTGTGATCGAGCGTGCAGGGATCGGTGTCCCGTTGAGGTGAGTGAAGTGATAGCAAGTCTAGGAATTCGTAGGAATGTAGAAGGTGAAAAAAAGAATAGCTTATGTCTCATATCGTCTCGATCAAAGATCATCGGAGCAAGATCAGACCAACTTTGTCTGGCATTGTATAGCTAAAGCTGTATAGCTGAAGCTGTATAGCATTGTACAGCTCTATAGCATTGTACAGCTCTATAGCATTGTACAGCTCTATAGCATTGTACAGCTCTATAGCATTGTACAGCTCTATAGCATTGTACAGCTCTATAGCATTGTACAGCTCTATAGCATTGTACAGCTGTATATCTGTCTGGCATTGGACAACTGTATAGCTAAAGCCAACGTACAATTCGATCTTTCATTCCAGGTCCGACCTTGTCGTCAGAAACGTTCTGGCTGCAAATGCTCAAAGGGTTTCTCGTCATGTGGACAAAAATTGTGTTGTCGAAAAAGAAGAAAAAGATCGAATTGACAGAGGTCGAATTGACGAATTCTTTTCTGAATATTGAGACGATAAATCGGGTAACACAAATCTCTTTGCGAATGAATATTTGGTTTTGTTTTGATGCGAATTTGTGTTATGAATAAATGTTAATTGATACGTTGGGATTGATCTTTCAACTATTCTAGAATTCTAGATCAATTCCTTGTATTGATAAATTGATATTGAACACACAAACACATCCATTCTGGCTCATTCAACTCTCGAGGTTTCCTTCTAGGAATAACTGGTGTTGCGAGAAAAGTGAAGCCCTATAATCGACCTCTAACAGCATTTACGGTATTTTCGGTAGCAATTTAGTCGATATTTTCCACCGTAATCCATTTTCTGTTTAAATTTCTTTAAACAATGAAACAAGTCGAGGGTGACTACTTTGCGCCAAATTTTTTTGCGCAATTGGGTCCTTGCGCAACTGAGTCGTTTGCGCAACTCGCCATATCTTTCTTCTAATTGGGCCAATCTTTATGATGTTGTTTTCATTTTGTTGCACTTGTTGAGATCTACAAAATGACATCAAAATCATAAAGATTGACCCACTTAGAAGAAAGTTATGGGGAGTTGCGTAAAAAATTTAGTAGCCACCCTCTAATTTCGATGTATAACTTAATATTATCATTTTTTATGCTTTCGAGACAATTGTCTACAGGTGTACAACGTACTTTTGGCCATAACTCTTCACCAACTTATCTAAAGTGGGATTCAGATACTAAATTTTATCTCTACACACATTTAAACATTGTAGCTCAAGCGCAACTCGCCATAACTTTCTTCAAACCAATGGACCGATCTTTATGATGTTGGTTTCATTTTGTAGATCTCAATAAGTGCAACAAAATGACATCAAAATCATAAAGATTGACCCACTTAGAAGAAAGTTATGGCGAGCTGCGCAAAAGACCTAGTTGCGCAAAAAAAATTTGGCATAAAGTAGCCACCCCCAACAAGTCTACAAGTCTCGAAACCCTTCCCCCCTGTCCATTTTATTTGTCGTCCCCCCTGTGCATTCTATTTGTTGCCCGCCCCTCCGACTGTCTGCATTCAATTTCCCGCTTTTTCCTGTCTACCGTATCCTAATCATTTTCTCCTTTTTTTTTTCGTGCCAACTTTCCCCCGCAATGTCGACCGTTTTGCGAATTTTATTGACGAAAATTGCACAAACTTTCTTCATTTTTTTGTATTTTTCCCATTTTTCGTTTTCACCATTGTTTACCACTTAGAGAGTTTTATTTTGAGAAAATTTTTGTTTTGTTGAGTTTTTTTAGGAATAGATGGACTTTGTTTTGTGAAATTTAAAAAATAAAAAGATTTGAAATTCCAGTAGTAGATAGAGTTTAAGATTTCTTAATTCAAAAATTTATTTTCAAGTTTAGAAATTTGTAAAATTAAGCAAGCAATTAAAATCTGAGAGCTTTTGCGAAATTTAGTGGGGAAATTGGATGATCGGCCGGGTTGATTATTAAATTTAGGGATTTATTTTCAGATAATTGATCAATATTTACACTTTTACATATTTAAATTCTACTATTCAAACTTTTAAAGACAAAACTTTTCTTATAATGATGTTTCAGTTTCCAGGAACCCTTTAACAAAACCCCTAGGCTATCCGGTGCTCATTTCCTTGCCACAGAACTTATCCATTTGATATTTCATATACTTTTCTTGCCATATTCTATGCAAATTCTAAATCTAATCTTAATATTTCAGGGGTATTCATCAAGTAGAAAGGAGAGATCGAAAATGTCCGAGCACGAGGATGATCATCATTTCGATAACGCCGAATCGGGTGCCGCCGCCACTTTCCCCAAGCAGTGCTCAGCTCTCCGGTGAGTGTTTGGTTTAGCATTAGGGTATTAGGGTTTAAAAGCTAGGCCTCTGGACCTAGCTGGACTCAGCCAGAAGCCTCGCCAGGCCAGGCAAATCACGGTCAAAAGCCAGCTCGAAGTCTGGATCAAAGTCCAGGTTCAGAGCAAAGTCCAGATCCAGATCCAAGTATAGATCCAGGTCCATGCTTAGGTTCAAGCTCAGGTCTATGCCTAATTTTTGGTGGACCCTGGAACTTTCCTATGAGCAAGCCAGCAGCTCCAGATCAGACCTGGACCTGCCCTTGTCTTGCCTGACCGAAAAATGTCTTTGAAACAACCCAGCCTCCAACGAATTCACAACCAAATTAGTTCAATTCATTTGCAGAAAGGGCGAGCATGTGATGATCAAGGCACGTCCATGCAAGATCGTCGAGATGTCCACATCGAAGACCGGAAAGCACGGACACGCCAAAGTGCACATGGTGGCCATCGATATCTTCACCGGAAAGAAACTCGAGGATATCTGCCCATCCACTCACAACATGGAGGTGCCAATCGTCAAGAAACGCGAGTTCATGGTGAGTTTGAATGAGAGATTGGATTGCATAATACCTATGCAGTTAATTACATTTAAATGTACATTTAAAATAGTAAGTGTAAGCAAGTGAAACGTAGCTGTAGCTCATTAAAAGGTAGCTGTAGCTCATTAAAACGTAGCTGTAGCTCATTAAAATACATTGATTAAAATGAAAGCATTTATAAAGATTTTCAAAGGCTACTGTCTCTTTGAACCCGTGCCCATTCGACGAATTCCGACCTATTGCAAACTTTGCGCAGATAAAAGCACAAGTCTTGTGTAAATCTATTAGGAATTGCAGTTAAAACTATCCCTTAACTCGTTCGATTTTTAGTTGATGGACATCGGTGCCGACGGTTTCCTCAACTTGATGGACCCGGAGTCGTGCGACACAAAGGATGACCTCAAACTTCCCGAGGATGCCACTCTTTCCACTCAGATCAAGGAAGCTTTCGAGAAAGATGAGACCGGCATTATGGTAAGGAAAAATGACTATCAAATAAAAAGCACAAATATTTTAAGGATAAATACTGAAGGGTGTTTTTAAAGAGCAGTTGACTAGACATGGTTTTTGTTGGCAGTTGGCTAGAGTCACTTTTTACATTTTATCAAACAGCTCTTGTTCTCGAAAGCGTGGATCTGAAAAGAAAAACATTTTAGAAGACGAGAGAGCTGTTTGCTAAAATGCAGAAAGTGAGTTGTTGGCTACTGTTGATCAACAATTCTTATAGTTAAGGTGAAAACACTAACAAAGTTTTACGCTGTTCTTCATAAGACTTATATAGTAGCCTAAATATCAAAATTGACGGCCTAGATATGCAAGAGTAGATAATATTATCCAGTAATCTATCCATTTTCCCCTCATCTTTCAGGTCAGCGTTTTCTCGGCTTGCGGTGAGGAGGCTGTGATGGGCTTCAAGAACATGCCCAAGGATCAGTAAAGATCCCCAACAACAAACAAACAACAACAACAATTCCATCATCACACAAAATCTGTTATCCTTTATAAAATTCTCTTTTTCCTAAAGCATTCTCTTATCGATTTTTTTTTTAATTTTTTGAGGTAGCCGTGTGGGAAATGGGTCACACGTGTTGCTCTCGATTATATATTTTTTTTCCTTTTTTTTGTTAGCCCCAGTTTAAGATCAGCGCAAAAAGGGTGGGTTTAGAGGTACGGTAATCTTTGGTATGGTTTAGGAAAGGTGTCATTTAGCATGAAGGGCTCATTGTTTCAAGGGTCAGGCGTTTAAATGCAAATTTGAAATAGGCAGCCATTTGAGTGGGAATTTGAAAAGTTTTCATTTAAATTGCAAATTCATCTCGTGTACCAGATAGTGAGCGTTTCTGTGAAAACACGATTTCCCATCTTCAATTGATTCAACCACTTTCCCCCCCCTGAAAATGTTAGTTATCGGTTCAACAATTCTTTCTCTTTTTTTATGAGATTTGGATTGGAGAAACTGAATATTTTATTTGTTTTCTTTTTCTTTTTCTTTTTGTTCAACAGGCGGTGAAAAGTAAATGTTCCCTTTTTTCAATTTTTCTTTTTTTATTTTTCTTTTATCTATATGTTATTTTTCTCTGATGCCGGCGTGGTGTCGAGTTGTTCGAATAAATTATTATCCGCATTATTAAAAATTTACATATCCACCCTAAACACTTTAACAGAAACACAGCAATGAGCTACAGTAAGTTTTTTTAAACAAAAAAAAAACGATAGAAAACAAAGTACTCTCCTTGTCCATTTCAGTTTAAAATTGCCATTGGCAAATGGCAATTTTAAGCTGAAATGGACAAGGAGAGTTCTATCACAATGTTGTTTTGGTTGTCCAATTTGAACAAAATTTTAGATGCAAATTTTTCAATTCAAACGAACTCTCACAATCAATAAGTTCCCAAATATCACAATGTTGTTTTGTTGTCTGATTTCTGATTTCCAAGTCATCAGCACTTTTCTTTTCTTTTCTCTTATCATCAGGCCACCAACTGGAATTTTTTTTTTTGACTGTTTGTCTCCGGGGAATAAACGATTTTCTCGAAACAGACAAATCAATCAACAATCTGAAATGAAATCAAGTCTTAGAGAAGTAAAGTTAATTTGCAATTAGAAAACACTCTCGATCTTGGAGCATTGTGATGCATTGGAGGCACGTCATAATGCTCAATTGTTTATGGCTAAAGTGCTGAAAGTTTGCAAGAAGGTTTTTGAAAAACTTTTCTAAGCAATAAGCAGAAACCAGCTAGCCTTATCTATTTTGGGTTTACTGTGGCCGCGCAAAAAGCCCACCCTAATAGTAAGCCAGATCTGGGTCTGACTTTAATCTGGTCTGACCTGGTCCAGTCTTGGCATAGAACTGGACCTGGCCCTAGCACTGGCCTGATCAAACCACTGGCTCTAATCCGGTTTGATCTGGTTCACATAAAGGCCTGGCTTATTATTGGAGACTTGAAGCTGGTTTCAAGGAGCTGGTTTCAAGGAGCTGGTTTCAAGGAGCTGGTTTCAAGGAGCTGGCTTCAAGGAGCTGGCTTCAAGGAGCTGGCTTCAAGGAGCTGGCTTCAAGGAGCTGGCTTCAAGGAGCTGGCTTCAAGGAGCTGGCTTCAAGGAGCTGGCTTCAAGGAGCTGGCTTCAAGGAGCTGGCTTCAAGGAGCTGGCTTCAAGGAGCTGGCTTCAAGGAGCTGGCTTCAAGGAGCTGGCTTCAAGGAGCTGGCTTCAAGGAGCTGGCTTCAAGGAGCTGGCTTCAAGGAGCTGGCTTCAAGGAGCTTCTATCTTGGCTTACAGGCCTGGAGTCGGTTGTAAAAATTCTAAGCAAAATGAGTGCTAAATCCCAAAATCCATTAAATTTCAATCATTTATTCGACTTCTAGTAAAGTCTCCCATCAACCAGTCATCCCAAAAGAAGAGGCTGAAAGTGAGGGAATGATTATGGATGCAGTAATAGCTTCTCCCCCCATCTATTTCCCTCTTTCCCTTTTCGATCTCGTTTATCCCAAAAATGTGTGACTTTTCACGAGAAAGAGAAGACTGAATCACTTGAATTCTTTTTGCTAAACAATTTTTTTTCAAATTATGAATCGCGTTGTTGATTCTCATTTTGTGATCCTTTCGTCGGGAAATCGTTTTTTCCATTTCTTATGCGGGAAATCGACGTCGACGTTTTTTTCTTTAGCTCCTGGGGAATTTCTAAGTTTAGTTTCTAATTTCTAACCTCTAAGACCTTAGTTCTAATTTCTAAGTTTAGTTTCTAAGTTTCTAAGTTTAGCAACTATTCAAATTGCAGAGAGCTTTCAAAAAAAGAGCCGCTTTTCCTTTAGAAAGTTATTTATTGGTCTAAAAAGAGAGTGAAATCGTTTTTTGTTTTGAAAATATCGGAAACTAGAAGGGTGGGATGTGTTTACATCAAATTTCTAGTCTAATCTCTAGTCTAATCTCTAGTCTAATCTCTAGTCTAATTTCTAGTCAATCTAGTCAAACTTCTAGTCAAACTTCTAGTCAAACTTCTAGTCTAATTTCTAGTCTAATCTCTAGTCTAATTTCTAGTCTAATTTCTAGTCTAATCTCTAGTCTAATTTCTAGTCTAATTTCTAGTCTAATTTCTAGTCTAATCTCTAGTCTAATCTCTAGTCTAATTTCTAGTCTAATTTCTAGTCTAATTTCTACCCAACTCCCAGTTATTTTCGTTTCTGATTTTTTCCCTTTCCTTTTCCCCTTTTCCCTGAACTTTAAAACGACTTCACTTTCTCTTTCCCTTAAAACGAAAACCCCAACTTTAAAGTCGGGGATATGCGTGCGCAAAATCGTGCAAATGACAGGAGTTTGTCGAAAACAATCCCTCGAAAAATCGAGAAGTTTTCGAGAAGTCGAGAAGTTCAAAAGAGAAGAGAAATCGAGAAAACCCATCGTCGTAATGAGTCCTGATTTGATTCTTTTCTTTTTTTTCTTCTTCTTCTTCTTCATTTCTTCATTTCTTTATTTCTTTATTTCTTTATTTCTTCATTTCTTCATTTCTTCATTTTCCAATCCCTTTTTCTAATCCCCAATTTCAAACCATCAGCCACCATTTACACGTTTTTTTTTTTCAAAAGTTATTTTTAGATTTTCTGAAAACTCGATTGCAGTTGCAAATACTGATTTTTGAACGTTTCCTCGAATTCCTTTTTTGTTGAAATTCCTTTTTTTCTGATTTCTAGAAATTCTCTTTACTTATTTACTAGAATTTGTCAAAAATGAGAGTTGATACAAAGATTTTGAATGAATTCCTCTATTTACAATTCCTCTATCCACAAAAGTATTGTCCCATTGCCATCCAAAAGTTTCTTTCGTACGAAAGTCTTACAAAAAAACGATATTCCCATAAAGTGTAGGGTATTTTGCTTACCCATAATACTCTACTTTTCAGGATTATAAGATTTATCCGTTATACATTGCAGAAAAATCAAAATCAAAAACAAAAACAATAAGTTACTTAACAAATAGCTCCACAAAAGTAATCTCCCATTGATGTTTTCCTTGATTATTCTTTTTGTTTTTTGTTTTATACTTTATAATTTTTCTGCAATGTATACGGATAAATCTTATAATCTTGAAAAGTAGAGTATTATGGGTAATTGAGCTCGGGGCTAGTTGAGCCATTCTGATCCACTAGAAGGCTTGGATTGCCCCGATCTTGTAGTGGCTAGTTTGAGTGTATCTAACTTGTAGAGAATTCAGATATTTGACGTTACGGTCAACTAAAGTGCTATCCAGATTAGGCCATTTGGTGCTTATTGAGCCATTCTGATCCACTAGAAGGCTTGGATTGCTCCAATCTTGTAGTGGCTAGTTTGAGTGTATCTAACTTGTAGAGAATTCAGATATTTGACGTTACGGTCAACTAAAGTGCTATCCAGATTAGGCCATTTGGTGCTTATTGAGCCATTCTGATCCACTAGAAGGCTTGGATTGCCCCGATCTTGTAGTGGCTAGTTTGAGTGTATCTAACTTGTAGAGAATTCAGATATTTGACGTTACGGTCAACTAAAGTGCTATCCAGATTAGGCCATTTGGTGCTTATTGAGCAATTCTGATCCACTAGAAGCCTTGAATTGCTCCAATTTTGTAAAATGTAAGCAAAATACCCTACACTTTTTGGGAATATCGTTATTTTGCAAGATTTTCGTACGAAAGAAACTTTTGGATGGCAATGGGACAATACTTTTGTGGACCACTGTAAATAGAGGAATTCATCAAAAAAATTCAAAATCTCATCTACCGTAGTTTTCTGTTTTTATATCTTACTTATTCTAAGACATTTTCCAAAAACATTCTCCCAAAAGAAACTTGACATTTGCGATGTGATCGCCTCCATTTTGCCCTGGCCTATCATGGAGTAACTTTGGAAATTTTGTTGACTATGCCAGGGCATACTTTTGACCTGGCACCTGACTTATCCAAGGCTCAAGGTTTATCCTTTTGATATCTTGCAATATCCATTGTAAACCCTCAAGGTCAGATCATAAGTATGACCTAGTCTATCATGACTTTTTCTAGTTTCCTGAGTTAACCCTAAAATTTCGTAAGAGGCCCGGCCGACCTTGGTGTTGAGAGCTAGCCCTGATGGCCTGGTATTGTAAATGTTGTAGATCAGCCAGGCTAGGCTAAACCTGGCTGGCTTGACCGGTAAGACCAGTCCTGTTGAGAAGGGTTGGGCGAAAACGGATCCAGATCTTTATCCAACCCAACCCTACGCAAGAACTTTATGCCGGCTACGCGACACTCCAATAGCCAGTACCGTCGTGTAGGTGTTTAGTAGTGTCGCGTAGCCGCCATGTTCTTTGTATTCTTGCGTAGAGATCCTGATCCGAATCCGCCGAACGCTGTTGCTGAGACAGGGCTTTTCCAGAAGCAGTTTTGTTTGAGGTATGCCAGGAGAGGATTCTGAACGGATTCTGGATCAGAACA